ATTCTTCTAATGTTTACTCCGCTGCTGTTAATCTCATTTACTTTTTATTTACGAAAGTTTACCATACAGAATGTAGTAGCACAGATAACATTCTTTCTTATTATGGTCCAGGGAGTGAACTTTGTATATTTCATCGTCAATATTTTTATAGAGGTTTTAATCTTTAAGGCTGTATTGTTTAAAAAAGTTAAAGACTTTGTTCCTACAGATATTAACAAAAAGTGTTTTTTTACGAAACTCTTGATAGTAAGTATAGCTAACTCCTTATTTTTTTACTTGTTATTTACGCCTTGATATATGCCTCCGTGGTTTAGTGTTGGCGATCATACGCCAAAGGACAAATCCTGTAAAGACTCAATTCCTGGCGAAGCAATAATTGCTATTAACAGCGTGCAAGAACAACATTATATCAATCTTGTCCATTTCAGAAAAGACTTGTTAGCACAGAAAACTTGAAGCGTAATTATTGCTGGTTTGAACTTATGCAAATTTATGATAAGATCGCTGATTGCGTTTATATCTTCAATAAAATATATGCAGGGCAGGTAAAAAAGCTTTTATTTTATACGAAATATTAGAATCACTATTTTTCATGAATTCTAACCAATTTATAAACCTTATGCCATTGGCATAATAGAGAAACATAATTTGTAAAATGTAATATAATAATACATTATACTTTGGAAATAATATTTAATTTATTAAATTCAGCAATAAGAACATTTTCATGTGTCCAGTATTAACAAAAGTAGAAATTAAACCTAAACTTTTAGGAGTAGCAAAGTATCGTATGCCGTTTATCAAGTACCAACCACAAGTTTAGTAAATTTTATAAGGAATTATTTCTTCTAGATTTTGATTATGTTTGAAGCCTGGCTGCTTACTACTGTTCTTGTTATATGCAGATCATTATCGCCATCTATGAAGGTACAAATTGATTTATTTATAAGTACACTTACATATAAGTAAACTTATTGAACATTTGTGGATAATTTCTTAGGCGCCTGTTACATGTAAAATATTTACTGTGATTTATCACATTCTAAAGGTTCGTCAATACGGAATCAAGAAATCTAGAAATCTATTATTAAATATTGACATTCATCAGGACGCTAGTTACTCGTTCAATAAATACCATGATACATGAGTATTTATTGGCGAAACACAGTAAATACTTTACGTGTAACAGGCGCCTTAGAATATTAATTTAATATTGAATCGCTTTGAAAGCTAGTTTAATTAGTTACATGCAAATGTGTTCTTCATGATCTCGAATACGAACGTGTATAAAGACCTACTGAATGTATAGATGCGTTGAGTTTGTTTATATTTAATATGAAGATAAATTACAATGTCCTTTAGCGTGCAAGTGTTACTGTTAAAGAAGCAAACCCTGTTATCAAAGCAACTTCGATTTCGTAGTATCGTAAAATCAGACGACATTCCCAGGAGATGTTTAATGTGAAAGCGTAACAATCTCATTACTCAGTTCACGGATTGCATTTGGATTATATTTATACTAGCACACATACCATACCAGAATTTTCCACTGACCTGACCTTCACAGTACGACGGTTTTAGAGCCGTAGCTTTATAACTTTTAATAGCCATGCTGCTTAATTGAGCTTTAATAATAAGCGATCATGTGACTTCAGGTACGCTTTGAACCTCAAGATTTTTCGTCATCTATTCGCTACACATGTCCCAACTACTTGCTTTTAACAAATTCTGCTGTAACGGCTTTGTTAGGAGTGCACAAGGAAGCACGGTCAAATAATTGTATTTATAAAATGAAGTGAAAAGACCCACCGGCCACCACCCACATCATATAGAAATTCCATCATTGAAATACCCAACATCGCGCGCGGGAGGTCTAGCACACACAGCGCATACGTAGTTATACTGTTCAAAACATTAAAACTCACGAAAGGCGGCTAGTAAGATATTCTACTTATAAATTAGGTAATTCTAGCTAATTTTATAGCCTAGATATTAGAATACTTATTAAAGTATATTTTAAATAATACATTTTATGTTTGCATGGCCAATTTCTTATTTATAGTATTCTGATGTGATGTGGAGTGATGCGTTCTATTACACATTTCTAAATATACGTCCATTTTTTCTTACTAAAATTAGTGATTTCTTTATACAAGATAGAAGAGAAACACTGTCTTTACTGATACGTGTATTAATTCATAGTGACGTGAATGGTAAGTTACCTTTTTTTATGGTTCTGGCACGGTTTGTGCATTAGCCAGCGTCAAGTATGAGATTTTTATCATTCGTGCTTTTTGCCTTAGAAATTCGATCATGTCCTCCATGTACGGTTTAGGCACTCGCCCGGTACCGCACAATCGTCCCAAAGGCCGAGAACAAATTTAAATTAAATTAAAACTTGCCCTCGAACCGGGAATCGAACCCGGTACCCCTCACCTAGCTGCCACTTAATAAGACCGCTAGGCTATGAGGCCCCTAAGTTACCTTAACAATAATGATTATTTCAAACTGTCACCTGTTTTACCGACAACTTTTCATATTCTCTGCCATTGTTGCTCTGTCTGGTATTGTTCTATTTAAATGTTTTAATGAAAAAAATTTAATTTCTTAGATAAGTTGGTATCACTGACAGCTCTTTAAAAAAAGCCTGTTACGCACTGGCACACATTCTGTCAGTTTGAATGTTAATCGACAGCAGTACCGTTTAAGCCTTTTGCTTTATAAACATATCATAATTTTAAAAACCAACTTCCAGTGAAATAGTACAAAAAATTTAATAAATTGCCAGTTTCATTACGTTTTGAAGAAAAATAATTATTAAAAATTCATTTATGTGTTGGAATCAAACATATTATATTCGCGGTTGATTCTAACTAAATTTGTATGAAAATGACAGTTCGTGTCGACAAATTTTCATACAAATTTAGTTATCGAAGTTCTACATACACTAATGTTAAGGCATCTTGACTAAGCCCCCTTATATTTTTGCAGAATATATATATCAAAGCCAAGTACAAACTATGATCAATCTAGTGCAAGGCAGAAAAATAGAATTATCGGCTGTCGTGACAGCGGTCGATATACCAATCCTGATTGCGTTTGCTGGCAAAGTTATATCCTATAGTGTTTTAGTAATACAATATTTTTACATTAATAATTAACTGTACCATGTGGTTTCATCCGCGTTAATTAAGGGCCCGTGCACATAATAACTGATGAGATTTTGTTAGAATATGTATTTTGCAACGCAACCAATTTTTAGTTCCTAATTATGTCACGAGTGGTCTTTTAATCACTTCTACTTCTTTTGCACAAAATGTAATTGTTAAATCTCAGAATAAATTGTATTCACTCAATATTCCTTTTATTACAACATCCACGTAAATTCTCGATTTATCTTAATATATATTTTTCTTCTGTGCGTGTGTATGTGACTGAACTCCTCTCAAACGACTGGACCGATTTTGATGAAATTTTTTGTGTGTGTTCAAGGGGATCTGGGAATGGTTTAGATTCACAAATCAGCCCGGCAGATGGCACTGCAGTCGGTACTTTCATACTTTGCTTAATATCCTAATCGCTTTAAATATCATGCAGGACAACGTCTGTGGGGTCCACTAGTATATTATATATAAATAAAACAAGTTATACTTTATTCAGCATATTTAGGTCCTCTTTAATTTTTGATAACAAAATATTTAGTACTACAATAACGCAATCAACAGGTCATGTTTTTGAGGTAAAGAAAAATACATTGTGAGGCATTTATAAACTAAGAGTTAAGACTTAAGGTAAGATTTAGAGTTGCGATGGCAATATTGAAGTCATACTTAGCGCTTTGTCTCGACTTTGAATTTTACACTTAAATCTAGTTTCAGGATCTGCTAAAACTTTTTTCTGTATGAAGAATATACATAATATTTGAACACCGCTCAAGACGAGATTGTGATTTAAGATACTAATACTAAAATACTGGATCTAAGACTCAAAAATCCATCTGTTTTAGACACAGAAGGTTAATCTCCCACTTGCTTAAAGAGAATAGGCATTGAATAAATCAATGTTTGCCTTCGTTTTATTGATATATTGAAGGTTCATTAATGAGTTACATATTAACGTAATTTTAGGAGAATAACGTCCCCTTCTCCTTCTCCGGCCAAGAAATTAATTTGTCTTAATAAGGTTTCTTTTTTTAAAGGGTTTTAAATTGGTAATTACTCATAACTAAATTAACATGCTTTTAAAAATAATGGTGGTTAAGCCGCAATGTGACAAAAGCATTATCGTGATCTTTTATAAAACTGATATCACTAACAGTAGAATTAGTTTAACAAGAATAATTTATTGCTTATACACAGTTCATACGATTATATTAAATTTTGATATGAATGTGGTATTTTTTATTGTTGGCATAAAACCATTACAAAGTAGCATTTTATACTTTATCTAAAAGCCAATAAAATTGTCATGTAAAGCATTAAAAGCCAGGCCTTTCGCTTTAAGATTATATATTTCTATTGTTAATTAAAACTAAGGTTTTATGTTAGGTTAGTAATATTTCATATGTGATAACAATTATTAATTTAGCTTATAAAACGGTAACTGGTACGGTAAGCTAGTAACATTAAGCGTACCAAAGACTATAATATTATGACCCTAAGAATAATGTACTCTATGGATCATTCGATTTCACAGACTACAGAGTACCTTTGTTTAATGTAATTGCGACGATTATTGTTTGCGTTTTGCGATTAATTTTTGTATTTCATCAGCCATCAAGTAATATCTTTCATACATAAAATAATAATATTACACATTTGCAGTCTGAATCATATTTATGAAATACAAAACAGTGAGTCATAGGTAACGGCCACGTCAGTTAACAATATAGCCGGTCTAAATTGTAATAGATAACATTTATATTTAGTTAATTCCAGGCAGCTATAACGTTAAAAGATTTAACTTTCAACAGCGGAACAGAAAGCGAATTCCAAAACATCATGTCTGGATGTAAGTAATTTTGAGTGTTCTACAATTACTCTAAGTATATGTAAATGTAATTACGTTACTAAATCAATTATATGATTCTGATTTCCAGATCCTTATGGAAACCCACAATTTCCTCAGCAGCCGAATGCAATATATCCTCAAATATATAATCCTTCATCTGCTCCACCCCCTGGTCCTCAAGGACAACCCATGATGCCAGGCTATCCATACCAGCCAGGATTTGCAGTATATCCTGGGCAAGGAGTTGGACAGCAGGGACTGCCTCCATCGGCTATGTCATATCCAAATGTAGCTCCAACTGCACCAGCTTATGGCTACCCCGGCTTTCCAAATGTTACGCCACAACAACCATGGTGTAAGTAGATTTTTTTTAAAGAATAAACAAAAAATTAAATATAATTCTTTTTCTACAACAAGATGCACCCAGATGTGAATTATATTTATATTGTTTACATTATATTTTAAGCTCTATTTAATTCTGTTTAGTTTATTAGGATAAAATTCTGCTTTCAGCTGTTGTTGAATGGATACCTGCGACACCACAGTCTGCCCATTCTCTAAGCAACAAAGCAGTAGTTGCTGGCTATGAAGGGCATGACCACAGTCCTCTTTGGGTTATTCGGTCAAGAATTCAGGGAGATCTTGTACCTGGAAAGCTTGCTATTAAGCATAGTGCTGCATATGTACCTTGGAACGGACAAGAAAATCCTGTGCAGAACTTTGAGGTAAGGAGACTACCAAAGCTGTTTTATGCTTAACTTAATCCTTAGTTTTACATGTGATAAATTTTGAGTTTATATTCAATTAATATGTTCCAAAATGTTGTTGATAAAACTGCTCTATGCTGACTGAGCTGAAAATTATTGATGATTCATTAATTGGCCTAAGATAGTTTAAATTACTGTGGTGGTTAATTTATTTTTAATCTGTTTTAGTATCTGACTAGTTGTTATCAATTAAATAAAAAGTTTTGCATTTAATAGTAATTACTCTTATTTTACATCATTTAAGATAAAATGATAATGAATTGTCCAAATATACTGGGTGATGGTCAATTGATATTTTTGAAATGAAATTTGGATGTAAACATTTTCAGGTGTGCTGTGCTCCGGCAGACAAGGTCCGTTGGGTTGAGACTAGAGATGGTATAGTGCCACCTAACGCTATAGCATCTGGTAATACAGCTGCTGGAGAGCCTCTGTATGTCGGCAGGGCTAGGGAGCAAGGTTCACTTACTCCCGGAAAGGTGAGATTCATATTTTTTCATTAATTTTTACATGTTATGTCAATAGGTATGGATAGTAATAAAAAGTATGTATTTATAGAGAAATGTCCATTTGATATTAAAACCTAATTTATGCATTTAGACATACAAAAAACATATTATGTAAGATTTTTGCATTGGCTTACCTATTGGTTAATCTATCTACCTAGACTCTGTGTACTGTTAGATATTTCTTTCAAAGAGAGAAGAGAAGAGACCTAATCACCTATGTAACAATACATCAAAGAAACAATATAAGGCACCATAATATTATTCATTTTAAGTGCATCTACTTGAATCGCAGTTCTTATTATAAATTTAAGTAACATCATCTTGCGTCTTGATAACTGGAACCATACTTTCTCCATGACTCAGTGGAAGTGGAGTGGAAGTGGGGGTAATATGGAAAAGCGCCATCTAGCGATCTCACATCTCGTAATATATTGTACTGATGAATTTAGTGTTGTTCCTTTATCAAGTGTCATATCATGTAAATCAATGACTGTTAAAACGTCATTTTGATAATCCATTATATATTTATACTTACGATAATTTTAATTTTTCAGGTCCACCCAAGCCACAAGGTGCTGTACATATCCTTTGGCGGCAAAGAAATTGGTCACAAAGTCTATGAAATACTGTGTACAGTGTGAAAATTTATATTTACTTTAAATGTAACAAAAACCCTGAGGTCTGAAGAAATTCTTTCCCATAAATTATTCACATGAATTTTGAATAATAATTTCTCAAAAAAAATTGTCATTGTCCTATCAAGTAAAGAAATGTTTTAGTGAAATTGAGAAACGCTGTTTAAAGATGAATTATTTTACACAAACTCTATAACATTTCCGGTGATAAGCAAAATAAATTATATGAAAAAAAAGAATGAATTATAAATAAAAAACTCTTTTTAATACCGTAGATAATTACTTAAGTGTTGCCAAATTGTACCCTCAATTTTTTTTTTCTCTTTTACCTTACAGGGTTTTTGTTTATAAGGTTTTAAAGCCTGTACGAGAACGCCAATTGCATTTTTTTTTTAATGTTTCGCATATTAGACGGTTTTCAAAGACAACATTGTCATTTCGAATTAGATTTCGGACCTAGAAGTAGTTACGTTCTCGCTAAAAGCGTTTATATTCAATATGTTATCTCGAATAATTTAAGGATAATTGTAAGAATGCCTAAAGAATGTTGCAGAGACTGTTTAATAAGTATTAATTTTATATTCTGGGAACTATGAATTAAATTTTAATAATACATTGTTTTTTATTTTTACGATATCTCTCTTCAGTCGGTAGCTTATATCTGAACGTCGTGGTCAAGAAGGAAACATCTGAAGCGGATAATGTTTGCACCAGTTTCTGTCCTCCTGTATGTAAAGTATTGAGAACACTTGATCGCTCCATCTGGTTGGTGAATTGCCACGTAGTCTTTTGCCTTCTGTGTCACCAAGAACAATCAGTTTCTCTAATTTCTCATCGCCTCTGCGCATTGTATGGCCGAATATGATATAATTCGAGTTCAGTGCTGCACAAAAAAAAAAGCGGTCAACGATTTATAACAGGAATGTTGCAAGTGGTGCATGGAAGCGATATACCATAAAGCCAATATAAATTAACTCGTTTGATTGAGCTGCCTATTTTTTAAGTATTAGAGCTGATTTACACAGGGTCAGTAACTGACTACAAATTCGAGACAAGTCAGTGCTGACCCGAAAAAAACAATGTGTAAACTGATTTGAAGTCAGTACAGTGGCTTGAAGTCAGCGCTGACCCGAATATTCGGACACAATATTTTAAAGTCATTGCGCCCCCGCCACCTCCACCCCGCGCCAGCCAAATAAACTCCGTGTAAACAGACAAGTCAGTGCGTGGTTAGTCACTGCCGCTGCGTTGTAGAGTGACCACGTTTTTTTCGCTGGCGATAAAAATTAAGCTTAGCGAAGACCAAACCTTAAAATTGGTGCAATTATATGGCGAAAACGAGTGCCTTTGGGATATTAAATCCCTAAATTACCGCAATAAAGAAATGCGGTCAACAGCGTTGCAAAATATGGCTCAACAAATGCAAATCGAAGGGCTCACTTCTACTGAAGTAAAAAATAAAATAAAAGCCATAAGGGCTACATATTATTTAGAGCTTGACAAGATACAAAAATCCACCAGATGTGGCGCTAGTGGGAACGTATATGTCCCAAAAGTCAAGTGGTTTCAAGAACTGGACGGCTTTATAAAAAATGCTATTGTAAATAAATAAATAAATTTTTCAACAAATAATTAAATCGTCGTTTTAGTTGTTTTCGCGAATTCATTTTTCCCACTGACTTCACAAACGTGTGCTCATCGTGAGAAACGCACCACTACTACTTACTTCATGTAAACAGTTAAAATCAGTCGCGGCGCCGACATTGGCGCTGCGACTGACTTGTCTACTGACCCTGTGTAAATCAGCCATTACTTTTCGTTCAAATACTTTTACTTCTTGTGTAAAACATAGATGGCGTTTTACATGGTGTTAATATAATTCAAAGCTACGAGAGTTTTGGATTAGTAAGTCTCTTTTTTTATTTGGCCATGCTACTACGATCTTTTTCTAAAATTGTTTCGATAAACTCACGGGATTCCTTAAAAATAAAAAAAATCGTTGATATTCTTATCTTATTTCTTATAATTAAATACATACCTTGAATTAGGATAAAAAAACTTCAATCCCAAAACTCCCTCTAACCTCAAAAATGGATTCAAATTCTTAGATCCTTAATAACTATTTTACGCAAATCCTTTAGGATCTCTGCCATAAAGTTGTGGAATACGCTTTCAGAATCCATACGATTGGCTTCCTATCTAACCTCTTTTAAAAGTCTACATAAACACTTCTTGACTTTTGTAATTCATGAACCGTAAAATAAGCTTTTAGTAGTAATTTTTATTTTATTTTAGATTAAGTTTGGTAATTGTATAATTTTTCAATGTTACTTGCTAGTAATTTTATTTTTGTTGATTAGGTTATGCACTTTATTTACCCTTAGTATTTCTTTATTTTAGTTATTTTACTTACCGCCCGTGACATCCCTAATAAATTATGAAATTTGTTAGTATTTCTAATGTAACGAAGTTTAAATAAATAAATAAAATACAGAATCATGCATTTTTATTAGTAAGTACATCAATAACAATAAATATAGATACAAGTTGTAAAAGTCGATTTCTAACAAAAATATTTTTCATGCTAGTTTACGATACTTACCTATATATTCATAAATAATCAGTAGATTTTAGATAAGACTTTCTTTACATGAATTTATATTTTTAATTCTTTTAGTAGATAAATATAGACGCATACACATTGTAAAAATACTGAGAGTGATAAACTAATGCTACTTTGTTGTATGAATTAGGTCCTATATTGTTAGGGTACTATATAATAGGGTGAAATAATGCAGTAGATTCATTTATATCATACTTTTCCGATTAGGTATTGAAATAAAGATTTTTTGATTACAAGTTGTATAAAATTAAGACAAAAATCAATTTTACAGCTCAATCAATCAGTATTTGCAAAAAAAAATTAAAAAACCCATTTTAACCTCGTTAAAATGTATTTTTAAACACGTTGGCATACATAAAGTATAACGTCTATAAGGCAAAAGAGGTAGGTAAGTAGATATTTTGTAAAATTATACTAAAACTGAATTTAATATATATATTTAGAATTTATATATTTTTTTTAACAATCTCAAAATCTCATATAAATAAAATGTTTTAATAATTATTCTTAAGTACTAGTAAGTATAGGTACTAATTATCACTTGATCGTTCTATATAATAATGTCAGTTGTGTTTTTTTATATATTTGAAGCTCTTTCAAACCTATGCATGTAGATAGAGTCTGGCTAATGAAAGATAATTGAATTATTTGAAAACTTTCGGATGGCAACACAGAATGTCATTGAACTTCTTAGGTTATTATGATTTATTGTCTTGATACTTCATGCAATTACTCATTTTTATTTCTATTATATATTTTTTCCGAATAGTTAACAGGTATAATAGCCTAAACTTTGTTTTATATATATCTAATTTGTCTACGCTCGTTGGTTTACTTGTACAAAATACGGTTACCAGGCCATAAAATCTTCAATAAATAAATATTGAAATGTTTGGCGCTTAGAATCGAATATATATAATGAAAATATTACCATAGTAATATTACATAACAATAACAAAGTAAAACTAAGCCTTATTGCACTCTGTTAACTAAAGTACTGTTTCGTCTATTCCTGACAAATTGTGGTTATTTGTCAATGTCGGTGCAATTCGAGTTATTTTTTTATGAATGAGTAGGTCAATATTTACGCTAGCCTGCTTACTTATTACATAAATATTTGCGTTTGTTTGAAAAAGCTCAATATGAACGACAGGAACTTAAATATGTCTAATAAATATCGTATATCACAGAAATTCAATATCATAATGCGTTCAATGCATTTATAGCTTACTTGTGCAAACCATACTTTGTGTGAAACCTATTTCTATCTGTGCGGCAACACTATCTGGATTTTCTGGGATGGCTTCGACTTTATGTTTTTGATCATCACTCTCGAATGCTTTGTTTTCTCGTCCTTTTTCACGTTCTTCATTGACTTCTTTATCTTTGTTAGAGGTTTCAATTGCGAGAAATTTCTTGTTTGCCAAATATAACCATCTGTAATCAAGTGATACATTATTCGTACGGATATCTTCATGTTTATATACATTTATTAAATAACAAGCAAAAGCCGGTTTTTTAATGTTTAATAATCCACTCAAAGCAAAATGGTTCAAAAGGTCTCGTTTCTGAACCTTACCCTAAGTGACCTCCTGTCTCACGAAAAATATTTAAAAAGATACTTACAAAAATATAAGTACAGCGGGTATTGTGAGACCACCGCCCAATAGGAAGAAGGCACCGGGGAATGTCTTGATGGTTGCTGTGTATACTGTAGTATACATTGGTGCGTATACTAAAGGCATCATGGCTTCCGCTACTCCAAAGAACGAGTTCACTTTACCTGAAACAGAGTATAACTCTTTGTTTATTTATATGCATTTAGATAATTTAACTACTACATAATTAGCTAGTATGTCATAAGGGATGAGTCACAACCACTTTCTGTGTTATTAATAACAAACGTTATTTGTTCACACATTCATAATAGTATGAGATACATTTCTAGGTATATCTTATCAAGTTATTGATAACACTTAAATTTAATCTAATAAATATTTATTAAAACAGGGTCTTATTTCAGAGACTATACAGTGTTACATTATTCTTCTAATTAAAATATCGTATCAATTTTAAAACTATGTTTTCTTTATTTTTCATAGCGAGGAATCCATTCCGTCGCTTTTTTTCGTTTCTTTATCTTTATCTTCTCTCGTAATGAGAGATTTATGAAAAAAGAAAACGAGGAAGACTAATAAAAAGATGGGAAGATGATGTGCGAAGAGCAGCTAGCTTTATGTGGCTACGTAAAGCTAGAAACAAAGAAGAGTGGAAGCTCTAAGAGCTTAGGAGGCCTATGTCCAAGGACAAGCTGTATAACAGAAATTAAACGCCTTGCCGATTAATTATTACTATTTATTTTTGATTACTTTTTAGTGGTAATTTATAAGTACTTCACTTTTTTACTAGTATAAGTAATTACAGAAATAAAGGCTTTAATTATTATTATTATTTCATAACTACGCATAAATTACCGAAATTTTAGCCCAAAACGAGAGCGCAAGAATTGGCAAGACCCAATTTAGATGTAAGACATAACGTTGAAATGAAATACTTGCCTAGTTCATCTTTGTCCACTAGTTTTGACACCATAGACCGCATTGCTATAAACGAAGTTCCGTTGAAAACCTCGACAAGCGGTGCTGAAAATAAAGTAAATTTATTGAATTGTTCGATAAATTTATTAAATAACAAATATCATTTTTTTTTCACAATATACAACTATAAAATAAAAATAAGAAAGATTACATAGTGCGTGTTCTTATTAGGCGATCTCTTCCTAAATATCTGAGAGGTCTCAGAGGTCCAAATAGGTATTCTTACCTATGTTTACGAAACCTACCTAAGTCTATAGACACAATCAGCTTAGACTAGTGTTTCCCAACGTGGGTTCACGCCATAGGGGGTAGTTTGATTGTTAAGGGATTAAATTTTTTTATAAAATTACTTGGATTTTAAATTCAGTTTTTGAAAATTAACTTTATGTTTCAAAAATTATGTTTAGAAAATTAAATTACTGTAATACAATTTCCTAGAAATTTCTTTTAAATTTAAGAATGTCTAAGGTGTGGCATTGCGTAAAAAACGGTTGGGAATGGTATATCATACAGATACAGGATATTACTGTAAAATTTTGCGAATCATAATACAAAATATATATGAAACGAAGTGAAATTGCTAATACTACTTTCGAGATTGCAAAACCTAATACAATGCAATATTGTCGAATTGAGCTGGCAAATTAATTTACAAGACTATATTTAATCAAAAGTACTTACCTATGTACATATGCCAGGATTTAGTAGCAAACGCGTACATGAAGCCAGATAGAATTTTACTCGTACATGATATGACACCAATGATTGCGTCATCAAATTTTAGTACGTGGCTAAATACGCCCACAGAAAACAAAGTGCCTGAAAGTTAAGAAACGTTACGTCATTATTTATATGTAGATATGTAAATGTAAATGTAAGGTACTTAAGAGGCCTTTTTGTATCCTTGTTGTAACAATGTTTTCCTTTTTTTATGTCACACTTGATGTTAAGTGATAGGATTGGTACGGTAGGTTATAAAAGGTAGAAGATTCAGGCAAACGAAAATAACAGATGTGAAGCGAGAGACGAAATCGGTTTGGTTATATGTAGTTTGAATTTCGTTATCACCATAATATGCCAGGGCTGCCCGGTGACATAGGATATCACACCAGTTATTTTTAAGATTTCTCAAAAATGGGGTTTGAACACTTACATAAATAATATAAATAAACAACAATAAATACCATAATAATGTGTAATTATTTCATTTCATGTATTTCATAGGTATTTATCAAGATCATTTATCATTTCTTTGAAATTCAAATCCTATTTTTTGCAAAGTCTAGTAAGTCTGGAACTCCGATTTAAAATGGCAACACCGTTCATTAAAAACCAACAAAATAAAAAGTTAAGTAAAAGATATCATGGTAAAGCAAATTTTGGGCCATTATTTTTGTTAGGCTTATAGTCAAAGTTTTTGGTAAGTCGTCGATTTCGTGGACTTGAGATTAAGCTAAGCTAAGATCTCACCCTAAGTCGAATTATTTCGGAAATACTTCAGTGGGCAGCTGGTTCCACATAGTGGTGGTGCGCGGTAGAATTTGCCTTAAGAAACGCTCAGTTGTGGAACGACAGACGTCGAGGTGATACGGATGGTATTTTGTATTCTGCCTTGACGTCCGATGATGAAACTCAGCATTTAACTAACTATAACTATATAACTCTATGTTTTCGGTAGTACTTGGGAACTACCGTCTTTTTAATTTGTAAATAAGGGTTAGGGTGTTAGATGCCTAAATTTTGTCGCTATTTTTATAATACTATATTTCACAAATGTGTTTTAACAATACAAGTAGGATAATTTGCATCAATTTTTATTATAATATAAATTGTATTAGACAAAGCATGGCGTAATGGTAGCAGTTCCTGACTTTTAACTCAAAAACATGCCAATTAAAAAGAGAGTGGCGAAAAGGTTCTTGCCATTTTCTTTCGCCCACTTCGCCCTTGATTTCGGACCTGGTAAATGTACGTTAAGATCTTCCTTTTGAAGTTTCTTAAGTGTACATATACCAATGTGAATAAATAAATTTTATATTTTATTTTTAATTTCATATTGTATTTGATCTGCAGTTGAACGAGCTAGACCAATGAAGACCTCTCACCTACAATGTATGTTTACTTACCTACTAATGAAGTACACATAGCGTAAGTCGAGAACATGCTGAAATCCACTTCGTTCCAATTAAAACGATATCTTGTGAACAGATACATGACTGACATTTCACCTGAAACCAAATTATAACACACTAAATCATTAACGGATAATAATAATAATACACATGGCAACAGAAAAGTGGAGCAAGAAAATGCTAAACTAGTGCTCTCGGTGCAAAATTGCAAAAGGGAAAGACGTTTATATGGTGGATAGACAATATTAAGGAAACAGCAGAAACTGGCACAGTGCAGATGGGAATGGCGGAATTTGGAGGCCTATTAAAAATAATGAGATGATCGAAATTAAATGTAAAAGTATCTGAAATAAAAGGCTATTACCATTATTATTATTAATAATAATAAAGTGACACTACAACCCTATATAATAGTCTTGGTCTTAATTTCATAGACAAGTATGTTATCAGCCTTCTGTCTAACGCATGTCTCTGGATTTGAAACATGCCGGTTGCCTCAATATGTTAACACGGTACGAGCAAATGTTAGATGCACACGTGGACAGAAAGTCAATTACCTACCTCCTACGACCTCAGGCATGTGCTGCTTAATGGATATAAGCGCCATCTACTACATTATTTATATAACTCGACTGTGAGTGCTTTTCAGTAAATTAAATCAATTTGTTTCAACTTAATTTTAATGTTAATGTTGTTTAGTCCTAGAAATAAATTAGAACCACTCATAGCCATGTGTAATATCTTTTCAGAATGCCTATGAAATGCGCCTAAACTTGTAATACAGGGTCACTTTTCGGTAGAGTATTTTTTTTTCACAGCGGGGTCCGAAGTAAACAAAAAGTTATATCGTATAACTTAATATTATCTTCAATACACCCAATAAACAACCAAAAATAGCATGTCTAACGCAAGGACTTGTCAGTATAAATCTAGTCACTAGTAGATATTATGAAAAAGATACAGAATGTAGATTTTTTCGAATTTTAATAAGAATTAGTAAAAAAAAGTCATTTTTTTATAAAAACATAAAATGAAAAGTACCTAAATTTTGGGAGGGGGGAGTAATCACCCCCACAAATTTTGCTTAGGAAACAAAAAAAAATTTAAAAATATTAAAATATTTTATAATTTTGCACTTAATACTGTAACACTTTCTCAAAATCAAATTCAAATGGCCATTGGTTTATACTTTAAAAATAATAGTAGAGAATAGAGATTGAAAAATAATCTATTCTGTGAAAGTGAAAAAATATTATTTTAGTATTGATTTTGAATCCGATTTTAAATCATTTTGTTTTGATTTGAGTTTCAGTTGAAAGTTATTTAAAAACAATATTAATATACGGTTAGTATATTAATATTTATATAACCTAACCTATCTAAATAATATTTGTTTATGTGACAGCTCCATCTAAATATAATTGTTTATTCAACCTCCTTCTCTTTCCCTTCACCAAATATTATATACTAATTAACTAACCAATTAAATAATATTTGTTTTTGTGGACAGCTCCGATCTAAATAGTAATTGTTTATTCAAGCCTCTTCTCGGCGTCTGTCGCCTTCCACCAAATATTCATATACTAACTCTAACCTAACCAATCTAAATAATATTTGTTTTTGTGGACAGTCGATCTAAATAGTAATTGTTTATTCAAGCCTCCTTCTCGCGTCCTGGTCGCCTTCCGACCAAATATTCATATACTAACTCTAACCTAACCAATCTAAATAATATTTGTTTTTGTGGACAGCTCCGGCGCTACGGAAATCAGCCCTCCACCCTTCTACCAAAGCACAGGCATTTTATTCAAGCCTCCCAACCTCGGCTTTTTTGGTCGCCTCTGGCGACCAGCCTCAGCCGCTACAGCTTTTATAATGCCTGTGCTTTGTTACAGCGGGTGGGGGCTGCTCTTCCTCCGCCCTCCGATTATTTATATACACTCTAGGGGTAAGAAGACAAGACACTGATAGTGGGTGCTCTGATTCGTTTTGGGTACTATTTGAATAATTTAATAATTTTGAACCAGTTATTTAATTAATATACGGTTAGTATATTAATATTTATATAACTAACCTATCTAAATAATATTTGTTTATGTGGAAGCTCATCTAAATATAATTGTTTATTCAAGCCTCGGCTTCTGGTCTGTCCCTTCAAAATATTTATATAACTTAACTAACCAATCTAAATAATATTTGTTTTTGTGACAGTCCGATCTAAATAGTAATTGTTTATTCAAGCTTTCCTCCCCCTATTATTTATATACACTCTAGGGGTAACAGACAAGACCACGTATAGTGGGTGCTCTGATTCGGTTTTGGGTATATTTAATAATTTAATAATTTTAACATACATTAATTAAAACATGAAGTTAATTAATTATGTACATTTGACAAGTAATGCTTAAATTAGGTTCAACTATAAAATTAACAAATGAGGAAATAATCGATTCGATTAGGTTCAACTTTAAAAATAACAAATAGAAAATATCGATCAATTAATTTACCGAAAATTCACATCACTTATAACCAATAGAAAACGACAATGACACATCACTCATAACCAATAGAAATCGAGAATGTCACATCTCTTATAACCAATAGAAAAGTAGTTAGATAATGGCGGATTGTTTATAAATTTCAATACAATTCACAAAAGTTAAAAAATTTTTTAAAATACTTTGACGCTTATCCTAAAGCTAAAATCACTTGGAGGTGTTCCAATCAAGGGTCCCCGAGACTCCTGCACAATCAGTATCATCAAATTCAGGTGCGTTTGACTCACACCCAACCCAAAACGCAAAATAAATTATAACTCTGCATGGTTTGAGTTTAATGACCTCCCGTAGAATTTTTTTTTGCCGGTGATGACCCCATCTAACTAGTTGCGAGTGATCCACGACTTTTTGGCCACCCTGTATATGTATAGCATTAATACAAAAAAATCGTAAACCATTTTTTTTTAATTTTCGACGATAATATAATAGATAAATAATAATAATATCGACTTATTAAAAAAAGGAGAATTAATTTAGCAAAGTTCAGTTACTTTCGAAGACATGTCATAAATTATTCTAATCAAAAGACAATTTGAAACAAGACAATCGGCACTTACACATACCTGATACCACAATAAATATCTCAACCAAGGACTTAGAACAATGAATCCATGAAATAAAGGACATCAGTAAGAGGCGTAATGACGTAGGTGCTATACTTGTACACGTACCTACTATACATGTATACTTGTATAGTACGTGTATACTTTGCTTATTAAACTATATGATATATTAGCAAGATTAAATCATGACTTCGGACCTCAAAAAGTGCACAAAATTATAAGGCGGTCATGGATATAATATGAAACCAGTGGCGCTAAAATGTTTTTAGATCTGGGCCTCAGATTTTTGTATCTGTTTGTGAATCTAGTTTGGAAAGTAGGTGATCCGCCGTCTGTGCCTGTCACACGCCGTCGACTTTTTGGGTTAAAGTAAGCCAGTTTCCTCACGATGTTTTTCTTCACTGTTGGAGCGAATGTTAAATGCGCACCTAGACAGAAAGTCCATTGGTGCACAGCCGGGGATTGAACCTACGATCTTAGGGAAGAGAGTCGCACGCTGAGCTGCTAGGCAAACACTCATAATTACCTATATGGTATATTAGCTAGGTTAAATCATAAAAATCGATACTATTTTAAAGAATCTTATTCTTAAACAAATTTTGTATTATCATTTTTAACTAATTTTTAATAAGAGAGTCGTCTTTATTGTTGATAATATGTTAAAGTAACGAATAAACAGTCACCCAAGACGGCGTCGGGATGGATTATACTTCATTAGATTAAAGCGCATTTACTTATCATAGTTCAACAATAGTCTTACGTTAGTAGGAATTATTGATCGCTGCGTCTGGTACAGTCAAAACAGAATACGAATACAGACTATAAAGAATTATATTTTTTGAATATTTTTTCGGTAAACCCGCTATTTATATACTATAATTATGGCTATGATACATTACTTTAAAATTATATTTTAAATTTAACCCTTAATTCTCTACATTTGACTGACACAAAACAGATACAAATTAAACGCAATATTTTTTTCGCCATACAAATGCGCATTATTAGATCTACTATGTTAAATTATCCCATTATGTCGTGATGTAGAGTATGTGTGGAGATAGAATTGGAGTGACTTAAATCCCGCGTCGCTGTAGTGCGAAATTATCTTATTTATGTTGGCAACACTATCATTATAGTTCGGCATTAATCTTGATTCTATTTATTATATAATCTTACGGCCACGCCGTTACCTCTCTGCACAAGCTCTATGTTATAATAATTAGTTAAAAATAAGCTGTAAAATTTAACAATCGAAAATACGTTAGGCAAATATCTTTCCGAATAAAAGCGCGGGCACATGAATCGCCGGAAGCGATGCTCTGCTGCGTCTGACGTCACACTGCTAACGTTCAACGACACATCCGATTGGCCATTCATATCAAATTAATGACACATATTTAGTATTTCAGCGGGACTAGTTCAATGGACTAGACATCAATCTATTATTTCATTAATCTGAACTTCGTGAATACAGCGAGTTGAATGTAATAAAATACGCTAGTTTTCGTAGTTTAAAGCCATACAAAGCGATCTAATTGTTACGAGTTGAATTTCGCTATAGAAAGTGCTATTGATAGCTCATATCAATTGAACGAGTAATAATTACGGCTTTTTTTAAAATATTGAATCCCAGGTCCTATTTGACTTACGTGTCTAGAACCAATCACTTTAAACAAAAAATTATTTCCGTTGCCGCGAATTGAGAAACTTAAACTTAAATTCGAACCATTGTGCATATTAAACATAGTTATATGTTTTATATGCATTTATTTTCTTAAAAATTGTCTAGATTTTAAATTATAAATACATAATATATAATTGTATATTGCTGCAAAATTTTACGAATCATACTACTGTCATTGTCAAAAATGACATGTACGAAAATATATTTTCTCCTCTCAATATTAATGTGTGTATTGGAACTTCGTAGTCTAAAAATTGAAATTTATTTTACATTAATCTATATTTTATACAGTTGTTTATATGTTCTATATTTGCTATCATATCAAGATTTTAAAAATAAACAGATTCCTAAAACTCTTACATATGTATATCCATAAAATTCTTAATACTATTTCTATAAACCGAAATGAATATTGACTAAAATAAAGGAAAACATTCAGCCGTGTCAACTTAATATTAACATTTTCAATTCTATCTAAAAACCAATATGTTGCAAAACGTATAATTCGCGCCAAAATCCGGGACGTGAAAGCGCGTGCACCACGATTACAAGATGTACAGAGGGCGCGCCATAAAGATGGCGCACTACTTATCCACTTGTTAGTTAATTTAATTTATAATTTCGATAAGTTCGAAGTTCGAATATCATATCAACATTTGACTATAACGTTATTCAACTTTTAATATTTTCATTCAATATTTCATTTATAGGAAATTAATAGCTGGAGAATTACACTAGTTATATTAATTTCTTACCGTAAATTGGTCCAATAACTACGCACAGCACGATTACTAGCATAATAACTCGTAAACGTCTCCTATTTGGTCCATTCTTGAATGCCACCATTATAGTGTCTTTTACATAGCGTGTATCAAAGAAATCTCGTAACCACTCGCAGCAGTTATTAGTTGGCTTCTGAAAATATTAATTTAAATTAAACATTGCTCGAATGAAAACTAGCACTTAGGGTCTACTGATTTGTTTAATTTGCGTATAAAGAGGAATTGTTAGCAAAACAGATACAAGTTCTGAATACGGAATTTTTTATTTAAGGTTTACCGAGAGGCTATATAGAAAAGGCTGTTCCTGTTCAACAATATACATAATATTATGTTTATATAAGTAAATATATAACAAAATATTTTTTATCAAAAGATAAATACACAACGCAAAGACGGTTGTCAAGGGTTTTCAGAAAATCTCGTATAATTATCTAACTTTATGAACGAGTGCACTCAAATGTCAATAATTCTTGAGAATGATTAGGGCGTTAAAGGCCAAATTAATTATTAAAAAAATTGATAACGTTCAATTATTATTGATATTATTATTGATAAAGAAGGTTGATTAATGCCTACTTAATGTCTGTTTATTAAACAATTGAAATTATTATTTAAATATAATGCAAAAGAAGTTTTAAAATTAGTTTAGATATTTACGAAAATTACATGAAAATTTATAACAAAATCAAGAGATACGAAAACGATGAAAACTCACCTTATAGATTCATTAAAATATTTATTTATTACAAAAATTACGTTACGTAGTTAAGAATTAAATTGGTATATATAATTATTGGTATGTCTAGATTTTATTGAGACTTATTCAAGATTTATCTTACTTGTTAGTCTTGTTCAAGTTTATTTAATTTCTTAGCCATCGATCGAACACGAGAACAAATCTAGGTCAAGTTGACGGACTTTTTCTATTCTCACGCTCAAATTAATTTTATTAGGCATTGAACTTGTAACCTGTTATATAATAAGACGACACGGTGATTGACAAACCTTATTCATGGTCATTGCACGCTGGTCTTTATTTGAAAGTGAATGCTAAATTGAACTTTTAAATCTGTACACTAAATTTAAAAGACAATTTTTAATTTATTGTTTACTACCGACAGAAATCCAGTACATAGTTTTAATAAAAAAAGATCTAACTGAATCTAAACGATTCTCGAATCCACTTGAACACACACACACAAAATTCATGAAAATCGGTTAAGGGTTAATCTAAAAATTAAAGAAATCTTCGTCTTTAATATTTTTGTCAACAAAACATTATATCATTATATTTTTGTTATCTTTTTATTATATAATATACATGTTTCTCATCGTTTGATCTTTCCCTGAACTTCCACAAATGTTTCACAATATTAATCAAATCGGCCCAGCCATTCTCGAGTTTTGACGAGACAAACAAACAGCTATTCATTTATTAAATGAATGAGATGAAATAATTAGTGTCAAAAAATATGGGTTCGAGGAGAGCGCACATTTACAAAGTGAAAACGTGGAAATGTACCACAATAAATCACATTTGGCTGATCACATGACACTGCAAATAGATCTGACTGAAGCCAGTATACCTAATCATTCAATCATACGCACTACAGAACTTTACCTACCCAAGATATCTGATCAGGATCAAGGATGTATCAATGCAAATTATATACATTGTTTCAAATACGTGAAGCGCACAGCATTTTCTACGTACAGTTCCTCACAATAAAACTTGTTTAACTACAATTACCGCAAGAATGAAGCGTGAAGACGTTTTTAATTCGTTTCAAAGAAACATTCACACGTACAGATAACAATGACAATACTCACCACACTTGTATTAATTCGTTTGACTTCCTTTATCCTGAAGAAAGCATATAGAAAACTCAAAACATATAACGAGGCACTTAAAGAAAACACTCCATATAGGCCGATTTTTCTGACTAAAATTCCACTTAAAGCCGCTCCAACGGGGACTCCTAAAGAATAAAATAAATTCACGATTCCGATTCGTAACGTTCTTTGATCCTCGGTCGTCACTTCAGCTATAAAACTAAACACTCCCATAAACATGGTGAACCATCCTCCAGTCAATGCAGGGAATATGGCTTCGGTCACTGCTGCAACTTCCACCGGCAATTCGTAGAAAAAGTACGTATTCACTATAAGGCCAATACTTGTCAGGAATTCGCCTATTATGGGTAATAGCATGCAAATCTTTCTCTGTCCAACTCTATCACTATACGCGCCTAAGAATATTAAAATCCCACATGGAAGAAACGATTGCAATACAGTTTTCCATCCAGCTACAGACGCTACGAGTGTCTGCACTGCTTCTTCTTCGAAAGTGTAATTAGCGGTATCTCTTTTGGTTAAGGCATCACAAATGTGGTGATCGAAGGCTAAATTTACTCTGCACGCTTTCTCCAAATACAAATTTTGCGTAGCGAGAGCAGAAAGTACCGAAGGCATGACGTAACCAGCAAGTATCGGTTCAACTGTTATTAGAGATATCAAGCGTTTGGCTTTCTGGAAGAAATTTAAGTCGATCCAATCGTCGGTTTTCTCCTGTACCTTTTCCATTTTGTTCTTTACAAAATTATTTTTCATTTCGCTTGTGGCGATTAAGTCAGTGTCTTTAAGTGTTTTCTCCGCGAGTTTTTCTTCTTTCCCCTTTGTTGTATTGTCGTAAGCCATGTTATTTGTCATGTACCTGGAAAAAAAAGGCATTGTAAGATTGTCGGTTTATACTTAGGGACGGCTTGTTTGATTAATAGATGCGCTAATGTTGATTACACCGGACGTGGTAATCATTTCATCATTTATTCGTATTGTAATCGTTTAGACGAAATTAACTTTACCTAGCCAACGGAATAACTTCTAAGCTGAGAAACCGCAAATGCTCTTTTAAAACTATGGTTACAAACTGCAATGTTTACAACTACTTAGTATAACTCCGTCACGGATCTTGACAATGTTTAATAACAATCGCTTTATGCTTGAATTGGTTTTGAATTTCGCTGCTTACTTGTAATGTTGTAATAATTAATTGATTATGCAGAATCATATCAATAAGAAATATTGAAACAAAAAAAAATGTCGACATTTACATCTTGCAAAAAAATATTTATTTATTTATTTATCAAAGTTTACCACATCGTACATAGTACTAAATCTACGACATATTTTATAAAATCTTCCATCTAAAATGTATGACAATTGAAGTAAACATTAAAAGATAGAATAAGAATACAATAAAATTACCAGAAATTTTTGGTAATGCAGAAAAAAAATCATCAGCATAACAGCGAATTAGGTTCGAGTGAAGCACACAACAATCCTTTCTCTAAAACCGATCAGCCCACTACCGAATATATCCTGATAAGAACTGTTCAATCCGTTAAAATCGCGAAGAGTTCGAAAGAGAGGTGCCTGGATTCCTAGGTTGGTTTTTACAGAAGAAATTTGGAAAATATTGCTGATTTTAGACAGACTGTCACTGCTCTGTGTGTGATTATTTAGCAATTTATATAAGAATATTATATAATGCTGTAAGAATTATTTAGTGATTTAGCATAAGCATCTTAAAATCTGACATCATGATCGCGATTGTTTTAGAGCGGTTACGTAATTTCTAATGTTGTCATTTTTAAAAAGGGCCTTTTGGTTTTCCCGCTCAATAGTACCTTGGGTTAAATGAAAATACATTTAAAAGAACTAGTTTTAACTGGTTCGTATGCCAGAAAATAATAAGGGTACGTCCAATTACGAATTTGTTAAGTTCTAGGTTCACGAGATTCAGATCTATCAACAATCAGAGACCTTGTAATCTCCACAATAGCCAACAAAAACCGCTAAGCGGTGTCATCGTATTGGCCTTGTCAATCGTTCCGTATTCCTAATCAAGGTTCACACGGAAGTAATGTGATGATTTTGTGCAAATCAGTGTAAAGGAAATGGCATAACAATGCATTAGTAATAGTCTCTAAAAACTACAATAATTAACTGCCATGTGCACATTGTCAGAGATATTTATTTCCGAAATTATCAGATTAATGTATATAACTTAATATTTTGTTTATATTAACTTTATATATAAAACGAATAGTCTAACATCCCTACTCTAAAAATTTGCGAGTGAAAATTCATAACACAAAAACTTCGCGCATAGCAAATTTACCAATATAACACTTTGTACTTCATCCTTTGTGGTTTAAATAGAAAGTTGTAACATTCGTAAACACATATTTGCAATCTTCACGGTTTTACAAAAATTAGAATCGTTTTCTTAAGCAACTTACTTAAGGTGTTTTTGCAAAATTTCATTTACATACGAGACTTTTCACACACACGATTAGATTAAAAACATAATCCTACATCTAACATAAATTAATATTACAAAAAACTAACCTTAAAATATAATAGCTAAAAAAAGGAGTCCCTTTAGGCAAGGTAGAGGAACCCGAACCCGAAGATACTGGCAGCGTTCCCCCTTTGAATAGCTAGATTAACCCGCCTAGCCACTAGGCTAACACCGCTCTAGCTATTTTCTAAGTGTTTAATATCAAACAAATGGTAACATCACATAACTAGGGTTTTAAAGACGACACAGCCTCCTATTTTAATATTTTGGTGACCAACTGAACGAAATGACAATATAATACGTGGTGTTTTCAAGTATTAAATCGTCTCCGCAATGCAATAATCACGTTTTGAATAACTTCAAATATACACGGTACATTCCAATACATAGATAGATATTTATCAGGCACGTATGAAACATCACAAAAATAAATAAAATAATTTATTAGTGGCTATCTTTACAAATTTTTATCTTTTCGAGTTCTAAAACTTAATCTCTTTTTTTTTTTTTTTGACAATTCACAGCAATTGACCGAGATGAAGCTTGTGTTATGGGTACTAGGCAACGGATATACATACATAGATAGATAGACATATAAATACATATTTAAACACCCAAGACCTAGCACAACACTAAATGCTCATCACATCGATGTTCGTCTCAGCCGGGGATCGAACCCGGACCCATGGATTCGCAGTCAGGGGTACTAACCACTAGACCAATGAGTCGTCAATCATCTCTTGATTTAAGGGTTCATCAAGCTGTGGTCTAAATTTAAATATTGTAAATTGAATTCCTAATTCGTAAATAAAAGATGAAACAGATTATATAAATATAAAAAAAAACAGAAATATACTTATAACGAGTTTTTACTTTGTATTCAACAGGAGCCACAAAAGTAATCATGATTTAAATGAATGAATCAACAACGGACTTGAGTCGAAAAAATCTGGATTAAACAAGTGAATTAAAGAACTGAACTAAAGGCCAGCTGGTATAGTGGAGTTATTGGTTGTACTATAAGAAACGGTTAAATGGCCGTTGATGCAGAGTTTTTACGATACAAATTATTAAACCCTGAGTACATATCTCCATATGTCCTTGGTTTTAATTAATAAAATAATAGCTCATAATTTCCTGTTGTAAAAAAAGGTTATAATATATTATACTTCGCCTTTCAGTACAAATGCAAACAGTTAACAGCGCGCACAAGACACGAACATAACAATAGGGGCGTAATTAATATTAAACTTAAGATTTGCAATTATGAAAACCATTTCAGCGAGTGAGTCTAACCAAACTAAGAATCTTATTAAATGTGTTGATTTGCCGTATATGAACCACTGCCATATGAGCTACTTCACAAAATTTTAAAATAGTACCCATTTCAATAATATCCTAGATGACCTTAATTCTAGGGTTGAAAACCCCATCTTAAGTAAAATGACAAATGTTTTGGTCGAGAGTAATAATTATGGAATAAATAAATAAAATAATATAACGAGGGTCCGATTGTTTCCTGATTATTTGGCGGTACATATATTTGTATATTCCTCTTAAGTACTTGATTGTTTATTTATGTGTGATTTATCTTTTCGTTTGTACACTCCTCATAGGAAAAATTTACAGATTAAATTTATTTACATCAACCAAATTAGAGAAATTATCTTAAAAAATATTATAAAATAACAAAAAAAATCTTTATTTACACACAACAATCGTGAGCAAACGATTGTTTCGTGTCTACATAATAATAATTAGTGTAAATATAAAAAAACAAGGAAATCCCCATTTGTGATCATGTAGCATAAAGTCGTATAAAAACTGCATAAATTGGGAAACTCTCGTGTCTGTCGAATGTATTTATTAACACACAAAAGAATAACAAGAAATAAACTGTGGAAAACCACATCGGATAGTCGATTTCAAGCAAGTCGAAGTTAAACCTGATGTGGCATTTCGTGTTAGGAGTAATTGGGTATTCATTAAGTTGACTAATAATAAACCAGTGGTGCAGGGTGCTACAACTACATTAGTATGGGTCACGGATTTCTGCATCTCAAGTCAAGTAGTTGTTCCACGCCTGGTACAGTCCTTCGATTCTTGGCTCTTCTTACCTCAAGAAGTGCTAGGTTAAAGTTTACCTTCATCGTACGAGAAAGTCACGCGAATTGTTTGAAAAATTGTGTAGAGGAATCAGTCACCCATGTCCTGAAATGCGTGGCTGTGGCTTTTCAACGACTGGAAAACCTTGGAGCAGTCACTCCGTGAATCCTGCGAAGGAAACGTCTGAGCTTCCGGAAGGAGCTAGGCTGGCTTAATTAGCCAGGACTGAACGCACAACGGATCACACTAAAATTCAAGAACCAAACGTTGGAATGCCACAGATGAGAATCACATACTTAATTTAAATACCAATTATGAAATAAATAAATTGTAAAGATCGGCTGATACAACATATATTTTGATCGTACATATCGAGTAGAATATATGCGTTTTGAAATTGTGAAAAAGCTTTATCAATATATTACTACGTATTTTTTGAGTTTATATTTATACTATATTATTTTGAATAAAAAATATATTTTTACCGACGGTAATAAGACAAAAACTCTTCCAGTGCTTTAAAATATTGTCTCTTAGTTTATTTATAATATTCAATAATAGAAATTACAAATATAATAAAAATATTGTCCATGGTCGCTATTTATCTAATAATGCGATGCATTTAATATAAGGTTTAAACTGTCCTTGCCTATTGTATACTAACTTAATTTAACTTAATTGCAGTTCACATTGTGTTCATAATAGATAGTCGGATGTTTGTCATCGCTAAGTACCTACAAAGTTTTTAAAATTGTTCTCATCCGTTATTTCGTGTCTAGAGAATATTTTTTGCAGGTCCGACAATGACACTTGATCATCAAACAATCAAAAAGTAATTTAGGATGTCAATTGTCAAAACAATTTTTTTTCTCAAAAACATCACAGAATAAAAATATTTGTCTATGTAGACTGAAAAATTTGAAACAATTTAATTTTAACTTTTATTTTTATTTAAAAATTAAACCATTTTGATGCAAACTAATGTTTCGCGTGACTCACACGGGTGACAATTTAACAAGAAAAACGCATTTATTGCATGGCAAAAAGGTTACATCACACGAGACCGAAGAGCTGGCAGCTACCTCGGACAAAGAATTAGTCTAGCTATTCAAAGGGGAACGCTGCCTAGATCTTCGGAACCTTGCCGAAAAAGGGACTCCTTTTAATAATATATTTTGGTTATTATATTTTAAGTTTAGTTATATTAATTTATGTTAGCGGTAGGATTAGCAAATGTAAGACAATAATTTAAAAAATCTTCATCACGTTACTACAAACAGAATCCCATATCTTATTTCCCACAAAATTCCTTCGTAAACCATGTAAGTGTAAAATATAACAGGTTTATAATTATCTTATTGTTATCGTTTATATATTTCAAGATAATGTCCAATCCTCTGTATATTATATAAACAAAGAAGAAACGGTTATTGTTTTATCTTGTTCTTATAAATGGCTAATTGTGTGATCGAATTAATAAACTATATTTAGTTACGTAATCACAATTGTTTTCAAAGAGCTATTATTATCAGGGTGGGCTGCGCTTATACGCGTTAACCTGTGCTCTAAAGGATTTTTCTCTCTATTTTTTCACTTTCTTTTGAAGGATCGTGATGTCGAGGAAAATTAGTGATATAGGCACAGAAGCTTGATAATCTACTTGACTAAAAAAAGAAAATGAGACGAACAAACCAGAACAGAACGAATGAAAAGAACAAAACAACGTGTACAGAAATCTGGGGCTAAACTAAGTGTTAGCGCACAAGTTATTTTCTATTTTTTTATCAGGGTCTTTTATATGATAACAAACGTACTTATGTAGGCATGAAAACCCATAAACAATATATAGAAATACTTCTTTTATAAACTCCTTTGATAGTCAATCAGTTCAGACTGCTCTTCATTTCCTCGCAAGTATTAATTCCGTACGCAGAAATTTTTTTTGGTTCACGGCCGAGGTTAAAACGTACTCAGTATCTAAACAAAAATTGCTTTAGTTGTCAGTAAAGGCTATTTTTAATTTATGATTTCAATCACGTATGTATATGCCAGCTTGAGGAATCCAAGTCCAAGTTTCCTTAAAATCGGTACAAAGATATGGGTTTCACATATTTCTTGAGGGGACATTTATAATATGCCTAAGTAATTAATGTTGATATATAAAGGCGGTTTAATTTTCCTAAATTACTTTTATTATTATTATTTCTTGTTTACGAATTTTAGACTTGTTTTTTTGCTGACTACGGCTTTTACCAATGAAATATGAATGAAATAAGTGTTGGAAGATTATTTTAAATGACCTTGTTATAAGTACAAAAATTAATGGGTTGTTACAGGTAATTGAAAAATTACAAATATGCAGAACAATATTTCGACGTTTTTACATGAAAAAAAATTAGGAAAATTTTAATAAATTTTCAAAACATACTTAAAATTATAAACTGGAAGAGTTTGTTCGATTGGATGCAAATTAGGAACTGCAGGTTCGAATTGAAATTTTGAAAGGAAAGCTATGAAGATCGCGCAACGGTCGAAAGTAAGGATTTCTTAAATATCTAATAAGTAAAGTATATCAATTTTTGTCAATGACATTTCAGTACATCGTTTATCTGAAATATATTATTATACTTATTTTTATTTAATTCCTGTTTATTACCAACCTATATTTTATTCATTCAAAAGTAGTTTGAATACATTTAGGCAGTTTTGAAAATTTTTCCCTGTCTAAAAAACTTTTGAAACTTTGTGACATATAATTTATTTTGTACAGAAATGTCGTTATACTTAAGTGAACTTTACAGTAATTGGAACGTTTTTAAAAGTCCTTGGTACTTGAATGTAAATTTTAATTCTTACTGGTTTAACATAACAGAATTTAGCAAATTTTATAATTTTAATTCCATATGTAAATGACACAGGAAAATAACATTTCTTATATTAAAGCACTTGAAACTTTTTATGGACGAGCAAGCAATTACCATGTAAAAATTAACATTAAATAAATAATATACTGAAAAATAAATTATGTATAGAATAAATTGGTTTGGGTAATTAAAATAATAATCAATCCCTCCTACGGTGTAGCGAAATCTGTAGGTATACAAGGCCATGAAGTGAGCGTGCTAAAATTGATGGTAAAATAGCATCAATGCAAAAGATCTCCAGAGGTCAAGGATAACCTCAAATTACATTACAGTAATTAATTAGAAATAATATATTACACCATTATTTATTTACATTAAATTTATATTTATTTATTTATAAAGTAAAAAATAATCAAATTCTTACCAAATTAATATTTATTTCACAACCAAGTATCACAAAATCAGTCTTACATTAAAAATCCATGTTATTAAAATGGACGGAACGAAATTTAAAAATCGAATTGTAATTTTGACAGATCGCGCGCGTAGAATCCCGCCGCGAGCGATGTTCCGCGTGCGTTTGACAAACGGCAACTAAAAACTCCGCGGTTGCAGTTTGTACTGACTACTATTCTTAATTTACAAGTTCTTAGCAACCACAGTTCACTATGTAGTTTGTGAACAGAGCGGATGTCCATTCTGATGTCCACAGAGTACCGGTGGCCGCTATTCCGTAGTTGGGTTTGAAAGTTGTCTCTGCTCCAAAGATAGAAAGTTTAATAACATTGTTTGAATGCTTTTGAAAAACTTTATCAGATTGATATAACCTTGCGTATTTTAGATAATAACGTTAATATTGGAATCGTTGCAAATTACATAAAACCATCGTACCATTCAATTGCCTAAAAATATAGCCTATTGTTATGGAAGTTCAATGTATTAATTTGCTATGGTAATTTAAAGTTATAAGGTTTTAATAAAACAAAACATATTAAATAGTATATTTATTCGATCTCGCCGTTACACTAACTACTGAAAAGTTTTTAAGTGTGGTAAAATAATATTAAACTATATCATACATTTTAACCGATTTCAAAGGCCTCAAAGTTTACAATTAGAAGTCCGAAATATTTCTATATATAGTTTTAAAAATTTTAGATGCTACACAATGGTCTAATAGAAGGGTTTTTAATTCAGTCAATATATAGTCCCTTTGTAAATAAACTTATTTTTATTTGTCTTAAACACCACCATTCATTGCAACGAGTATAGTTGAAATAGTGTAATAAGCTTAGCTTTTATAAGAATTTTAAATATACAAAATAAATATCGCTTCCGTAACAAAATCACTATACTTTTAACCAGCCCATACAATTGACTTTTCACACTTTGTCTTCACTGATACCGTGGACTTCATTTGATTTATTATTGGACAATTCATTAGTTACAATATCTAAAGAGCCATTTTTACTAAGACCGCATATGGATAATAATTTTCTTAGTTTATCACGCTTTTTAATACAATACAATAAAAACATTAAGCACGTTAAGACAATAACAATAATACCGACTATAAAAGGTGCGCTCTTGTCTAAATCGTCGTTAACCCTTTCGAATTTTAATGTTTCATTTGACAAGAATGATTGTAAGGGAGCGAAATATTCTAAGATCCCTTCAGTTGACAGTTCAGTTTCACCGGTCATTGCTTCTAGAACAGTCCTCCAGTCTTCGCTTGCGCCAAGCGACATTCCCTTACTGAAACAATAAAGTGTTCTAATCAAATAGTTTTGTGCGCGGCTTACAAATAAGTGTTTCGCAGGAAAAATTACTTGCTACGGGGTGCCTATTTTAAAATTAATTATTATTGGCATAGGCATGGCTGCGTAAGAAACGTTTTTCATTTATAATATTGCGTCGATTTTCCGGAAAATGGCAAGTTACTGAGAGGTTTAATATTAGAACCGACAAAGTTTTGTTTCCCAAAAATTATACCTAAAAAATCTAAACAATTTCATTGTTTTCTTGAGAATACTATTGTTTGATACTCGGAATTCATAGATTGAAGATAAAAGTTTTAACTACGTATCATTACAATGTATACTGCACATTTTTTATTAATTATTTCTTGTACAGCAAATAATCAAGCTTATACATATACATTTATCCCGTGACAATAAAAGGTTTCATTCATAACTAAGAGGGTTATTATTCAAAGTCCTGGCTCTATATTCAAACCACCAGTAGTAGTAGAGTAAATTAGCTTTTATTGGAGCTATTGACAGTTTATATGTTTCTTTGGCACTTATTATTCACGCAAAAAGCTCTATTCTATACTGAAACTATAATATTTTTCATAACGAAATAATCTGAAATTATTATTGACGCTTAAACCCTTATGTACGCTGACAATCGATACCAAGACAAACGGATGCATAGTGCAAAACATAGATTGGAACAGTGATGTCAACTCCTACAGATTATTCCCCCTAGGACCAACTTCAAATATACCAAAATATAGATTAAAAAACCCCTAAAGTTGTTGTTATACACTCGGTTTGAGAGGTAATTAAAATATGCATTACAAATACATGCAATTATAAAAGAGCTGTTCAATCTTGAACTATAACTTGAAGTATTCATGTAGGTAAACAAGTACACTTATGAATTGTCAGAAAGTAGTTAAATTAATTGTAAATTTACATTTACTATCAGTTCGCAAGTCAAGGGCGTAGAGCGGGTAAGAAGAACTGGCAAGAAACTTTCCGCCACTCTTTTTAATCGCCAAGTATTGTCATACAAATTGTTTGAACTGGAGCAAATCAATCCGAAGGATTAGGATCATTTAAGGGTTCCTCAAATATATAAAAAGCTTTATTTATTAATTTTCGTTTAACGAGAGCTTTGAATTTATTTAGTGATAATTCTCTAATTTCACTTGGGAAGAAATAAAAGTACCCCCTAAAAACCCCTGGATATCTTGATTGTCTTTAAATTTTGGGGGAAAACTAACAAGTTGGCATCACTGGATTGGAATTGACGACTTATATAAAAGTTACTTTCAATAATAATGACCTCTTAAAAGTCACGGCATTTTACCAGACTTAAGGTTATAATATGACCTTTCCTTGCCTAAAACTATAATAATAGCCTACGCAAGGCAAATATTGTTTAGAAATATCATTTAATTTTTGTGATAATACGTTTTCCGTCGAAATAATGGTTTTCTAGTTGGAATGGTAATAGAAAACATCAAAATGTTTCAAAAAATATTTATCCAGAAAATCGTGTCAAAATCCAACGTTATCAATCAAAATAATAACGTTTCTTTATACCATGGGGTTTCCTTCATTTTCTATGCTTCATACAAAAAATATACATGTATCTCTCAATTGATATCGTGAGTAAAAAACTTGTACAAAAACATCTAAATCGTATTTTAATTCAAATGTGTAAATTAAGATTTTTTTAAAGAAGATTTTTTTATTATTAAGTTTTTACACGCGTTATATTACATTCAGTGCATTTACAAAATTCAAAAGTTATATGGTGAAAACGTGTTTAATATGATATATAACTATTTTTTAAATAACTGACATAATTCACCTTGAAAACCGGAAGTAGCAATAAAGTCGGACGCCACCAAAATAATAATGATTTACCTTAGAAGTTTTCCCGCTTCCTTATTTCTGTGTATGGAGCATTCGTGAAGAGGTCCTGTGTGGTTCACTGCTTTACATAAAGATCGTAGTATTTGAAATTCCAATATGTGTGAAATTAGGTACCTGGAATAAAAACACGGTAAAATCATGTAAACAGTGAATTTGCCACACACGTTTTGCTGTGAAAAAAGAAACGATGTTTAGCTAAAATTTACAAAGTAAATAAGGTAATAAAAATGGCTAAAATGGAGAGTTTAATAGTTCATCTCGTCCGTTCTACGCCATTGATTTAAGAACTGGCAATGAAAATTTAGAAGCATAATTTGTACAAACGATCATAAGTGTTCATTTATACCTACATGAAAATATACTATATATATATAATATACCTACCTACATGTAAATTATATTTTGATTTTAAAATATAATTGCCCGACATGACTCCCATTTTGGCCGCGAACTTATGTTATTATTGTTATTATCCCGTATGTTATAGACGTATTGGATTTTGACAGCTTTTTTTATTGGAAGCAAACGGGCAAGAACGGCAGGCTTACCTGATGTTAAGTGAGTCCGCCGTCCATGGACACTCACATTGCCAGAAGGCTTGCAAGTGTGTTGCCAGCCCTATAGGTCTACACATTGTTTCTTATATGACGCCCAGAGATACAGGGCATAGGAGAGGTGCATTCTGTATGTGTTATTGATAATTTTTCTTCTTTTCTCACTTGAACAGGTGCAAGAGGTATCGATGTGCCGGTTTCCTCATAATGCCTTATGAGCAAATGTTAATAGCGCACATGAAGATAAATGGTGCACAACCTGGCCGATATCAGGGTTGAGGGTATACTCTTTTTAAGTTATACGATAGTTGCTGTTAAGGCTTTCTTTTCTATTGAAAGTCTTGCTCGTACGTTTCATAATTCCGGCTAATAAATCCTTCTATTGGGAGCCAAAGTCAAATAGTAACCTGTTAATCTGTTAAAAACTTACGTAATGTATTGCACGTGCGAAACCACATGATACTTCGAAGCCGGGTCTAAATCGCTTTCATTGCGGAGAGTCGGTGGCGAAATCATTGTCTCTCGTATCCTAAAATTATATAAAATTACACCATATGAAGTAAACTAGAAATTGTGCCATTGAGTGCAAAACCTTATCTGGTGAATGAAAGCTATCTGTAAAAGGTATGGTCTCTTCTGGTTGATAGACGCCTAGTGGAAAATTTTGTAAACACATACGAGTATGTTACAGGTCAATGACTTCTGGTGAACGCAATAAAATAAAATAATTTTTAGTACGAATGAGCTTCTAATCACATGTAGACTCATGTGTCATTAATATTAAGGTTTGATTATAATTGAAGTTTTGAAGTTATACTTCTTTTGGGGCGCAAATTGATGCGCGCGCACACCGTCACAAAAAACCGACACCCTGAAGTTAGCTATAGTCAACATTTTAGTTTTTTCTATTTTAGTTTTTTCTACTAATATGAATTTATTGAAAAGATTTTTATCTTGTTACGCCAAAGATGTATAACTTCTAACGCGTGTACATAAGTACATTTTTCTCTTAGCGACAATACCACATTACTCGTATTTAAGATAATCGAACAGATATTTTAAATTTATATCTATGATACATTCACGATAGCAACAAATATGGTCACTACGTTATAAATGCATGACTAATTTTAGAATTATACATTTAAAATAACTGTAAGAGTGGCACTGACAAGTAGAAGATCAGCCTTCTGTGCCTGACACGTGTAGATTTTTAGATACAATGTTTTGTTTTACCGTGTTAATGCACAGCTGGAAATCAAACACACGACCTCAGGCGTTAAAGTCCCTAAAGCCTTTAGAGTCTAGAACAGCACTGCACGTTAATTATTTTAATTATTATTTTGTGATTTTAAAAATCAAGAAGTGAACAGAAATAAAATATTAAAAATCTGAAATATTATGAAACTACCAAGTATAACTGTTCCTCCAGAGATCCCCAGACATTGAGAAATTTAATTAATAAGAAATTTAATGTCTAAAGTTGCATGCAAGTTAATGTTGATTTAGAAAACTACTTTTATTATTACTACTCTTATAATAATAAATTTAACTTGTAAAAATAACTAAGAGTTTTCGTATGAAGGCATTCTCAAGGCTGAACATAACAAATCCTTTTTGAAAGAATGCTTGATATAATTATAATGCGCTGGTAAACCCTAACAATTTAAGACAAGCGGCAATTAGTTTATAATGCAAAAAATTGCTTATATAGCTATGATAATAATAGTGAGAATTTATACACTATTCTAGTATTCCGTTATACTTGCCTTTACGTTAAGTTAGTATCTAATGCAAATTACAACTGTAATCTGTCCTCAAATGAACAACAGTCGTCTATTAAGTTATACATATTTTTTATTGGATTTTGTAGTTTAAAATCGTGCGCCTAATTAGTTTATGTAATGATGCATAGGCCAGACCTCTTTCTAGTTTTTTTTTTTTACTAAATGGGCTAAGATCCAGGTAATTCCTTATGGTCGACCCTGATCTTTATATATTTTTATAAACGTAAAGGGAAAAAATCAAAAGCACTTCATATTATACCTATACTCGTAACATTTTAAAATGTATTAATAGTTTAATTAACCCTTTTTGCTACGATTATACTAAACAATACTTCTGACATGAAAATAATCTCGTTTATTCGTTAATTACCTTACCTGATAGCTAGCACATTTTCATGTTACAGAAAATCGCAAAAACGGAGAGTGCTAAAAATTCTTTAGAAACATGCGGAAGTAAAGAATACAAAAAACAGTATAAAAATGAGACTAGTTTTCATAATTTATCTCAAGGCTAAGAGGTATTCATATTCAAAAGACGTATTCGAAAGGAGCAGACAGAAGAGATCAAAAGTGGCGCTATAAAAAGAAGTTTATTGAATCTGCATACCTTATGTTCCACCAATGTTCATTCAAGTTCTCAGTACTATTAGCAAAAACGTCCCATCTCCATTTATCAAGGGCATAAGCGTAGCCCATCAACGGAATCTTCTCCAACGCCAGCCATAGAAGATGATTGATCATTAATTCTTCACACTTTCCTAGAGGGTTTAAGATCCATGGTGACGCCAGCTGCACCGCAACAATGTCGCTTATGGCGTCGTGAAATGCTGTAAAAACCACAAGCTATACTTAGTTATGTGGAAATTAGTTAATTATTGTGTAATTTCATTAATGAGACAATGGGAACAATTATTACAGTACACAAATGTAAAACAATGTTACTAGGTAATATAATAATAAGCCTTTATTCATCCACATGTTATTGACATACATTTAATAAAAATAGATATAAATACAATTTTAAATAAGATGCGGCCCCTGTCCGGGAGAATGTCCAACTTTTTCCACCCTAATTTATTTTGTGCCATCGTCATTCAATTTGTTTCAGCTACCGTCTCGATCCGTCGGGCCATCGCTCTATTGGTCTTCCTATGTTCCTTTTGGACCAGTCCATTCGGTTACTGCTTTAGACCATCTGTCATCTGCACAACGGGCTACGTGGCCTACCCATCTCCATTTAAGTTTTAGGGCATTATAGTATAGAGAGCGTTCAAGTATTAAGTCACGCAATTTTTGGATATAATCTTGTATATAATATGAGCCAGGTCAATATTATGTATTTTTACGTGTAGATAAAATCTGAGTTCAAAAAAGCGGTTATCAAGGCCACACAGTCAAACTAGGATAACATTTTTGTATTATTTTCCTGCTTAAAGTTATAAAGCTTTTATGTTCTTGTATCTAAATCAATATATACATAATAATCATTAATTTTATATAGTATTTTGAAGCTATTTTGTTTTCCGTTCGGATTTCACTTGTTTTTAATCGTGGCGGAGAGTGCCAAATGAATTTTGTTATTGATTTGAGTTGAAGGTAATTTAAAGGCATTCTAATATGGCCTTCTGCAGTGCATATTATGTTGAGAGTTTTTTGTTCTAGGTCTCAAATGAATGTTTATATTTTCCAATAATTGACTGGCTATATTTAAAAACATAAAAAGCTAACCATTACATTAGGAAGTTGATAATAACGAATGTTATAATTTAACAGAGAAGTCAAATCAAATAGGGACAAAGATTAAATATTGTATCTTTTGGTTGAAAACAAATTAATAAAAGGAAATAAAATAAATAAATAAATATATTAAATGCGCAGCGGCGAAACTATTTTATCAACACACAATTATTAAATGTAACATAACCCGTTACTTCTGTATGTTATTTTTTGTATATCTCATTTTGACACCAGCTTTTTGCTAACTTTGAAAGGTTATTGCGCTCAATAGTCAACTTATGGTGCGTTCCACTAACCACATAAAATCTCCTTTAGCCATTCCACATACCGACCGCGGTCGTTTGGTCACCGAAAACGTCACTCATGACGTCAGACAATGCCCGCAACGCTCACAGACCCATCTAAAGAGGTGGGTCGTTGTGAAGTTGAGAATAATTTGGCGCAATTTTTATTTTTGAATTGACAATATAATATTATTTTTCAAAGCTTAAAGATGGCGACAAGAAAATCACATATATTATTATTATTTTTATACATTTTTCCTAAATGGATAGATAACCTAACTCAATGTAAACGATATTTATTTTCATTAATAATATATATATATTTGGTAAATTTATTTTATTTGCAGATGTATTTTTTGCAACTGAGCTATTAAGAAAAGCTGAAGCTTCCGCATCTGTTCAAGTAGATCAAGAATTTATTGAAGAGACTTCAGAGAGTTTTATTGAAGAAAACGGCTGATAGTGATAATCTCAACTCTGAAATCCACAATTTGAAGGTTTAAGGTTTAGTTTCTGAGCTTATTGCGATGCATAAGCAAATATCAACGTCAAAGCCATTTCTATTATTTAAACTTAAGTTGTTTGATAACTTCACCAAAATTATTTATAAAATATTCAATTATTCTTCACTTTTAACATAAATAAATTTAAGTCACAAATTCAACTATTGTTTATGATTACCTAACCTCCTTAAAATTCTACTATTTTCAAACTTGACATTTGTAATATTTACATGAACGCCCGAAACGCTCCATAATCCATTCCACTTGTGTTAACGACAATAACATTCACAATCAAGTGGAATGGGGAAATCAGCGGTCGTGAGCGTGAGCGTTGTGAACGCTTAGTGGAACGCACCATTAATGTATCGTATTTATTTATTACTAAGCACAGTCGTCCTTATTAAAAATCGTTGATTTATGTTAGTATTGAGTTGGTTACCATGGTTACCATTTTGTCTATGGAAACACCATCGTAACCATGGTAACAAAGGATGTAAAGTTGTTATTGGACTTAAGATGTAGATAGGCATAGCACGAACTATACATTATACAACACAAAGATATATTTCCTTCTAAAAATGATCTGACACGATGGTATTTTTTAAATATAAACAATTGCATTTAAAATTTATACAAACAGTTTAAAATGGAAAATGCGGCCTTTGTGGCGGCCAGACTGGTCTGTCCTTCTTCCACAAGACGCTCATCAGTCATAAGTTTTAATCGATCGCAAAATATCGATTGCTAACCTAAATTAATCAAATTCGTTAATGCCAGTTAAAGTATAAACACTGTAAGTATCAGCAACAAACTGTGGCCTGAACTGTCTTGTTAACTAAGATTATAACTAAACAGCATTAGTTTCAAAATTTAGCTGTATAAAGAGTAGATTTACAAAAAAATATATTCTATTGTATTGAAAGACGGCGAATTATATAGTTCTTATCAAAATATTAAGGCCATTACATGTGCTGTTCGAATGTGTCGAAGTGTCCGTAAATGTCAATTACATTTTATTCATTTTATTCATTTTACTTCAAAATTTAGAGTGAAATTTTAATCTCATTACAGAATGAAGTTCCAAGATCTACGACTTGACATAATTTAAAAAATTCGAATAATAATAGAATTTATGTTACACTTAATGTAGAGAATAATTTAAAAAAATTTATTTATTTAATTTTTCAAATGTAAATGAACTTTATTGACTATAATGACTCCTTTTCAGTCTTTGATTATTTAATTGTAATTAATTATTTGCATGCAATCAAAAACTATTTTTAATAATGCCAAAGAAGTATAACTTCTTATGCGCGTACATAAGTTCACGCACCCTTTTTTTATATAGAAACATACCTTTCTATAACTGTTCTTTTTTCCCCTAGCTATTCGATTTAGGTATTCGTGATGGCCTCTAGTCGTTTGTCGTGTCAAACTATCAATATGCTCAATATGAAAGAAAAAGCTCCTACTTGCAAAGAGATGAAGCTCGAAATTCTTAAAAAAGTTAACTGATTTTAAATACGTAGTTTTAAACTAGCCTAGCGTTAGCTTATTCAAGCGTGTTAAATTATACGGGATACTGCAAGCCATACATTACATTCATTAGAATGGCAATAAGTTTATATAACTTGTTTCTTAGAAATCGAGGGAGATGTACAGTTAATTCATTTATTCAGCTTCAGTTCTAAAAATATCTGCTGACCTAATGTAACATTCTTGAAGAGTGTGTAGATCAGATGTTCCTCGACTATTTTATAAATACAGAATGAATAATTTTTGCGACATCATTTAAACATTGAAAGGTCGGCTTTTTAAATATCGTTTCACACAGAGCGCACTTCTTGCCGCGCACCACCAGCCCGTCTGCTATTCCACGTATTTCCGAACAGTTACGACTTAGGGGCCTTCAAGAGAAGAGCATACCACTACCTTAAAAGCCAGTAACGCACTTGCAAACCTCCTGGTATTGAAGGTGTCCATGGGCGGCAGCAAACACTTAACATTAACTGACCAAATAAAGGTGGAGATATAATAAAGTAAAAAACTCTTAAGGTGTCTAAGTCGCAAAATCGTGTCTATTCGCGGGATAAGTACACAATACATAAGAACGAGCCACAGTATCAGCTGCTGTATGTTTTATCAATGGTATCCTTCCTTATCTGTCTACCAATTCTAAGAGAATTATTGTTTCACTGGTAATAGAACACGCCATAACTGGTCATCCATATTGTGATCTCTGTGTATGAACCAACAAAGCATTATTGCTAGTACGTCTTAAGTGCGTCTGTAATATAGCCTTCCTTTTACTGTTTATGCCTTAACATATTAAGACTATTGACTAAATATTGATTTATATTATTTTGTTTGAAGAATATTTTTTTAATATTATTTATTTTTATACATACATCTATTGATTAAGTCGGCTTACCTCAAGAATTATTTCGCAAGACTTTTCGTTCTTGAGGCATATTATATTATTTAAACAATTATTTTAAAATTATAGTTACCAGGGTTTGGACCATCTCTAAACAAGGGCTGTAAGTTACTATAATGCCGGAAATACTGGACATGCCCCAACAATCTTGCTGCGCGTGAGAGTCCGACTACTGGGTCGGTCAACTTTTCACCACACCATTTAATCCTGAATATATATAGCATAAGATTAAAATAAATGGATTATTGATTTAATTAAAATTTAAATTATGTGTCTAGAGTTCTGTTCCCGCCTAATCTGCAAATTATAACTGAATTTGTAATTAACTCTCGAGAATTTTTCTTTTAAAAAGGAATTAGGGTTTCACTTAAAAACTTAAAATAAGTGCCGTCTCATGGCTAAATTATCTAAGCTTATTATTAATTTAGACCTTACATCATTTTGTAAATTATATTTATTGTATATAACATTTTAATGAATAGAGCGATTTATATGTTTATATTTTATATTTTTATGTCATATAATAGTTTTTTGACGAGCAAAAAAATTGCATTGCAGTTAACATAACTTTATAAAACTGTTTTATGTCTGCATAGCAAGACACTGCTTCAAAGCACTAGTTAACTATATCAAAATAATATACCTGTAATTAACACCATCGCACATGTCATGGCTAGAAGGTAGACAATTAGCGGTGGTCGGTGCTTCGTTAATATTTTCGTAGGACTCTTTAGCGCTTTCAAAGCCCAGAGATAGGTAAAATTCATCTACCGTGTCAAATAAACTCATAGCTGTGAACTTGGTGAAATTGTCCCGTTTTACATCAGGATATGGAACCACTAACGGGTATATTGCCTGCCATTCTTGGGCCCATAGATTTCCTGGAAAGTATATTTGTTCACAATTTTTATCAGGCGCTTTAAAATCAAGCGTTATTTAAGTCAAATAAAATATACAAACAAGAAAGAGAGAGTATGTCTGTAAACGTTTTTTTTTTATTTATTGCTTTACATCTTTAATAGACATCTTCAAAACAACCTTCGTAATTGTAAATAATTTGATCATAATATGACATTTGGTATGATATATATGATGAGATTGATTATTATCAATTGTTTCGGTAAAGCAAGGCATCGAAGGTTTTAATTAATTTACCTAAAATATGTCCTGGTATTAACCCATCGTTCTTCTGAAGCTCACGTTTGTACAAATCTTTCAACTTAGCCCGTACATAACGGTGTAATAAAGTATACAATGGCTTAACTTCATTCCATAATCTATCAACTGTATTAAGAAAATCATCATCTTCATAATTATATCGCCACATATCACCCGCATCTTTGAAACCTTCTACCTGAGCTGCCGTATTCATTCGTACGAGATAATCTTTAAATATCGGTCGTACTTTCTTTCCCGTTGCATCCCTGTATGCTTTCCAGTAGTACTTTAGTTCTTCTGAATTGTTGCTCGTTTTAAACAAAGTTATTATGTCTGTAATGTTAATTGACATTTTAGGTATTTACTATTTACCATGCGCTAAGTTTTAGTCTAAAATTCTAGCTTCGACTCCTGAGTCCTGAGCAAGGGGCAGAGGTGAATCTGTTTGTTCATCAACTTACGAGTCACGTTACAGTTGATAGTGCACTGATCGAATACTTACTTATAACTGTTATAAGTAAGTACAATAATCAGTGAAACAAGCTCAAAGGTGTGTTTGAGATATCTGTATATTTGTAATATCAAACAATATGTGGATATGTATGGCATATTAACAGAAAGATGTGACCAAAGATTAGAAAAATCATACCATTCATAGTAAGAGATGAATCTTCAGTGTCACACGAGGACTTGTACGCGCAAACTGTTACTCGACTCCAAATGCGTTGCATCAAATCTATTTCTTCTCGTTGCTGTAAATAAGCAAGTTACATATAAAAAACGTTCAATATCGGAAACTGACAGTCTTTTTGATAACAACGACTCCTGTGAGGCACTCGAAGCGTATCTTGAAAGTTTGTAGTAAATTCTCATTTTGTATGTGCCGCGGAAAACAAAGAGATATACATAATCTAGTCCTTAATTTTAATTTTGTGAACTAGTTTTTAAATCGTCACATACGTTTAAAATAACATTAAGTTAATATTGGAGTCAAATTAGAATTTAAAGCGCAAATACATACGTTTACAACTTTATAATCCTTTATTGTAACGTCATGTTCTTGAAAACTATCGCGGGTAAAATTTGGTGAATTAGGAACGTGTATGAGCTAAGTTTCTTAATCAAATTTATATGATGGTATACACGATGTTTTATTCGATTATACTAGCTCCAATTACTTATTAATTCTAACATTAAATAGTTACGTACTTTGCTCTGTGGCATTTGAACATTAGTTCCCCTCTCTTTAATTATTCGTAGTTTTCTTTTCAATCTTAAGTCGTTATTATTATCGATTTCATTTTTATATTTTCTCTTTATTATATTCCAATATCGACGTTTGATTTCATCCTCCTCGGCAGCTATTTGTACCTAAAAATAATATAAAAAGTTGCTAATATGTGTGGTATGGTATGGTTGTAGGTATCTCCACCTTGAACCATCTACAGTTTCCCCAAAAACTTAAAACAAAATTAACCTGGTACCTAACAGTATTAGAGCAGGAAGTTTAGCATCCGGTATTCAACACTGAGTAATTCTTTCTAACAGGTAGGATTGATTTTCATTTGTATGTGTGCAATTATTAAACTAGCCAGAAATCTTGCCAGTACGGGGAAGGAAACATCGTAAGAAAACCGTCTCCTCGTCGACGCGTATCACCTGTACTGAATCACCTCCAGAGAAAAATTTATGAAAAAAACACGGTACATGTCAAGCCAATTCCTAAAAGAGATCCCGGTAATTATGTTGATTCATAACTTAAATAACTAACCATTTTATTTTTCTTTACATCATTACTCGTATCTGTAACATATGCCCACAAAGCTTCTTGAGATGTTTTACACACATCAAGACTCAGCTTATCCATCTCTTCCATGAAGATTTCAAGTGTTGCGTTTTCCTTATCCAACTCCTCTAATTGCACCTTAAAAGTATCTACATCGTCATGCTTAATTATAACTGTGTCTGGATCTAACACAGTTTTCATTGCAAAATCTAAAAACTTTCTATCCTTCGACTCTTCATCTATTTCTATCTCATGACCGCTTTCGTCGGACTGCTCTGTTTTATTACTTTTCTCCATACTTTTGTCGTCAGCTGACATTTCTGACGTTGGGTTCGTGAGAAATTGTACAGCAAAACATGCGGTCAGCGATATTAAGAAAACAAAAGATTCCTGTCGAATATGCATTTCCTAAAAGAAAATTTAAATATATAAATTGCATCTAGTTAGATCTAAAACAAGACTGCATTTAATACATTTTATTGCTATGTGAGATAACAAAGTCACATTATAGAACAGACAATGGGCCTGGAGTGATTATTAAATAATCCAACTAGCTATTATGTAATAACCGTCCGTGTTGCAGAGGACTCAGCTAGCTACTCTTAAGACCATAACATTGTATGTAATCAACATAAATGCAGAGTAAATTGCTAATCGCCTTACCTACTCGTTTAAGTAATTACAGTACACTTAAAAAAAATAGAAAAACCAACCAATATAGTTTAATACTAACGTAAAATTCTGTTCACGGTAACAATATCACAAAACGTAACACAACACTGAAAACATATTCCTATTACACATTCCAAAATATAATAAAACTATAGTTTCACCAAATCACCGTTCATGATATGTCGCGGCCATCCGATGTTTGTGAATATTCCGTACTGTTTAATCTTTTTGTAATGAAAATTTTTGAAATGGAACAATGAAAAGTTGATTTGTTTTGAAAACGTGCGTCGGTGTAGGAGCGACGCGGCCTGACTTGGGCGTAGACGCATTGTTGTGCCATATACAGCATATAGGAATGGTTCAATCGAATCATTAGGACGTTCGCGTGAGACCGGAAGGCATTATACTAACACCTTATTAACGCTATGAAAGGATTTAGTAAGTAGCGAACTACAGGTACTATAACTTCCCTTCAATATATTATCTTCTAATGAAATATTCATATCATTACAAAAGACATTTTTTTTAAGTAAAATCTTTTTGAGTCTTGTATTCATTAGGGAGATAATGGGTCGGACATCAGGGTCTCTATCAAAATCATCTCTACCTACATCAGCTTTTATAGTTACGTGAAAATATTTTAATTCAAAGTCAAAGTCAAAATCGTTTATTCATATAGGTAACACAATGTACACTTATGAACGTCAAAAAAGAAATACATATTAAATGCTTCTAATTTTACATTAATTGCCAATTCTCAAATCAAGGGCATAGAACGGAAGAAAAGTGGCAATAAACTCTCCGCCATTTTTTTTAAATCGCCAATTTTTTGTTTTACACAATGTTTGTAAGGAGCTGCAGCCATTACACCATGTTCAACTTGACTTCTTAAGTAATTAATCTTAATATATATAAATTACGTGTCACGTTGTTTGTCCGCTATGGACTCCTAAACTACCGAACCGATATCAATAAAATTTGCACACCGTGTGTAGTTTGATCCAACTTAAAAGACTTAGCTTACATCTCAATTTATACCCGCGATATCATTTTATTGCAAAATATTTGTTTATTATTTGATAGTCACAATTCTAACAGATGGCGCAGTGTTGAAAGTACCAACGTTTCACGTGACCTACAATTTAATGGCATAACCACCAAAAAAGCATGGTGGTCCCCATGACTGGTGTTTTCCTACCGTTTCCCTTGAATAGTTTGCTACTATGTAATATCTAAATAAGTAACAAAAACCTTAGCCACAGAAACGCTTGGCCGGTCTGCTAGTAGTTAATAAAACAGACACTTGCTTATGTTAAATATAATTTTGGGTAATTAAATAAACAAAACTTGTGTACAACGTTTTATTAGTGAAAGATAATAATTAAGTGCCAAAAATATATTTTAATTTTTCTTCAAAAACGATGCTAACTGTTGTGCACCTGCCTTGTTAATTTCTTCGTAACCGTATGGTTCAAGTGCTTTTTGAGTCCGCTCGTACCACTTCGATACATTATCGTGAGCGCTGAAGTCAAAGTTGAATGCCTAGAAAAAAAAAACAATTTAGTTAGAAAACTTTATGTCTAGACAAGAGACAGTGTGTTTTATTACTTTTTATTAGTACATCGTTCTGTATCCAATACAAAACAATTATTATTTTATAGGATATTAAACCTGCCACGTCGGTGTAGTTGATACACCACACGTTATCGAAAATTCAATTATCAATGAATGCTAGAAGAAATTTATTTGATATTGAATAAATACGATTCTCTTTTGTTTTGTGATAGGCTAATAAGCAGCAGTTGTTAGATTCCAGTAGTTTACGTAGTGATACTTGAGTGAATATATCTAGGATTCCTATTTGACATATGCCGTAATATATAAATTTTATATTATATATATTTTAGTATATCTTGCTGGCTGTCATGTCTATATATTCTTACTTTTTCTGTATAACTTATCAAGGATATATCCAATGTTCAAACATTATATTTCATTTGACTCTTCTATAAATGTTTTACTAATAAATAAACACATAAAACTAGTAAACTTCTGATACAATTGATTGCTTCAATCAATATAAAAGTGAACCAACGATTAAAAATTAATATTTAATGGTAACCAATACACGGCTATTTGGGAATTATACACCTGTTATTTTAGCCATGACCCAATAAAGTATAATCAATAGGTACTTTATAGTTTTTTCACTTCAATGAGAAATGTTTTATTTTCAAACTTATTTACAAATGTGGGTTCGTAATTTTCTTTAAGTTTAATATGAGATTGAAAAGGTTTTTTTTTTTTTATCTTACCGATTGTCTATATTAGTAAAAAACTAAAAAAGTAAGGAATCTCTTTTAAAACAATACTAACATCGATTTTTGCATCAATGAAAGTAATATATAATATTGACATAGTATAAATGAAATCAAAATATAATTCATTCTTTTGGGTGAACGTCAATAAACTTACGAGTATCAAATCAAAACCGAAGAACAGACGTAAGGAACTGACAAACTCTTCACCACCTTCAATAATCACCATATTATTTTTTTAAAGAACATGAGGAAAACGGGCAGCGGGTTCATCTGATATAAAGTGATACCGCCGCCCATAGACTCTCCATGCCAGAGGGCTCGCGAGTGCGTTGCCAGCCTTTTAAGAGTTAGTACAGGCAGCTGTCCCCACATAGTGGTGTTGCGCGGCAAAAACTGCATTAAATAACGCTCAGTTGTGGAACGACGGACGTCGAGGTGATACGGGTGGAATTTCGAATTTTACCCCGACGTTCGATGATGAAACTCTGCTACATCTTGATCTATGCTTAACATGAAAACTTGAAGTATTCAATTATAGTAATAAAAATACTTACGTCTAAACTACTAATAGTAACAATTATGCTTATATCTGCAATGGTCATATTATCTCCAGCCACGAAGGTTTTTCCTTCTATCAATGTGTTGAGCCAAGCCAGCGCTTCTGTTACTTTTGCTGCTAACTCCTCGTTGTATGGTTCACCACGCATTAACATCGGCGCCTGAAATATTAGTAGGTACTGTAGTACATGGATTTTTAACTTATACATTCATTGTTACTTCTCTCTCTCTCTTTAATCTGCAGTTCATGTCAATATTATAAGGCCCAATAGTTAGTTGGTGAAAACTTGTTAACTGAAAAGAAAATGAATAATAACCTAAATTACACATATCTCCTAAAGCATCCTATATCCCAAAAACTACTTAACCGATTTGCAGGAAACTTGACTGTTCCCTCAGTTAAAATATAGCTTAAATCAGAATTTAAAATGGTAATCTTTGGATTATCCTTTGAATTTTAAGTTTTCCGTTTGTGTACCAGTATAATCTTTGAAGCCATTCCTTACATCATTTCATTTCAACAATATAACATACATACAGGCAAACTGGTAACCTTCCTTTTTAAAGTCTCTTAAAAATAAAGCACGTAAGCAGTAATAAACAGGAATTTTATGTACAAAGTAAGTATGTTTGTTGTCGGCAAAATATGAGAAGAATTTATTTTTTGTGATAATAGTGTTATTTTTAGTATTCGAGTTCGTAGTAATATCTATAATTTGACACGATTCTGACTAATCTAAATCTAACGAAGCATGCCACCGTCTTTTGTTTTAAATTATTTAACCCGCATTTGTGTTAGTTAAAAAAGGACTATTAAGTTGAACAACTTTATGTCTTCCTTTCTTCTATTTGTGTAAAAAAAAGATAATCAAATAAAAAACATTTGGATATAGGCTTCCAAGTGTTACGCGTAAAACATAACATATAAAAATAATATATTTATTATACACAAAACAATTCTTACGTATAAAGCTGAATATCTCGAATACAAAGTGCCAAGGTCAAACTGTAGCCTTTGGTCTACAACCGCTCGCAATCGTGGATTCTTTGGGTAGAGTGTGTCATCCCGGCCATATGCATTCACCAGATAGGACATTATTGCCCGACTAAAATGAGAAGGTATCCTAAATACATATATTTCAATACTTACTGTTTCACAATGTACGGATAAGTTCTACATAAATTCCAAATTAGCTATTTATTACTTATTGGTAGGATAAACACTATTGTTGCGTTTCACGACTGTCAGATAGCGCTATTCGTCACATAAAGTCCATCATAAGCTATGAGTCCGATAAATGCCAAATGGCACAATTTATCTTCCAAATAATTTGTGTTGCATAGCTATTTGGTACTTTATCCATACATTGTGAAACAGACCCTTAATATTATATTCTCTAACATAATGGACGCATAGACTTGAGATCAGCTGATTGCGACCTAATTATATCTGTTATTTAAATTTAGAGTAAAGTCAATATTATTTAAGATATCATACCTTTCCCATAGAATAAAACCACTGTCATCAATCGTTGGAATCGAGTGTTGAGGGTTCATCTAAGGACAATGGAAGAAAATATATATGTGCGTTGCCTTTCTAAAGCATTAAATTTGTCAACTATTATAATTATAACTTAACTTCCTTATTATGACATTATGTTAGTGTTCTTATTATATGACTTTATGATATATGCATGCGTATTTTTATATGGCTAATTGTGCGGATTTTTATAATAATCGATCTAAATATACCACTTTCTTCGCAAATAAACGATTTATTTATTTATTATTGTTCATAGCGGGTCACGTCTCATGTAAAATTCTAGATCTAGGGGTTTTAGTTATTGTAACGAATACGAAAGAATGCTTTATGTTATCTAAGGATACACAAAGCTCAAAACGTTTAGTAAATGTTTCTCACAGTAGTATTGCTTTGTATATTTATCAGGCGTATTATAAGGATACTCATTAAACTCTGGGAAATTATAAAAATCGGTTTGGAGGAAAATCAAAACTGCCTGTTGATAAAATATATCAGTAAGAGACGCAATTGTGGATACAACCCCCTATTCAGTATAGTACAGCTTTATGTTACTGAACGACACAATATTCTGGTATTCTAGTCTGTGCTCCTTACTTTTTGGTAATATCTTCTTTTGTACCTTTATATATTATGTGTATGTTTGTAAATATACTTATTCAATGTATATTATATTATAATTGTTTTGGTTACTTTTGTGTTTACCTAAACCTTTCTAACTAAAAAAACCATGAGATTAGAGGGTAGGAACCCAGAACAGAAAATCCGTAGACTAAAAAAATTATAAATTAATTATAACCTATGATATTACCTTTAGGAACTCGGGCGTCAAATGTTCACCTTTCATGATGTTAGTCAGTACCAAATCCAGTTCTAAGCCGATAACCTTTGCCGTCATCATCACGGCTCGGCAAGGTGGCGATGGTGGCAGGTAATACAATTTAATCGCTTGGCTTGGCATCTTGCCTCCTTTAGATTTGGCTGCAGCGTTACTATGGAAACCAGGCATGAAAATATTTTAGGAGAAGCTCGAATGATGGGGTGTTTGTCTGCGATTCGTAATCGTAAACTCTAATTTTGCTCAAATATAAACGTCAAAGTAAATTTCTATTTCAAATGAAATTATAAATTCGTAATTAAATTATGTTTTATAATTATCTAGAGTGTCACAAAGTTACCGTAACGTTAACGTTTGTTTCAAATATATATGTATGAAAATTCCGCCTGAAACTTAGGTCTTTCAAATTATGGTAGAATTCTAAGTGTGATTTTAAGTTAATAATTACTGTAAGGTTAGGTGTTAACGAAAATTATTAGTTATAAAGCGATTTTCCCAAAACAAACTCTAAGTAACGCGAGATTTTTGTTTCAATGATAGCTGTTGGCTTCTCTGTCAAATTTAAATAAATTCAAATGTAACGCTCCAGACGACAATTAAGCCTGGACGGCAATTAGGAGAAAAAGTCAATAATAATTTGCATATTCTAGAATTTCTACATTTAGAAATTATATATAAGCGTGTAAATAAAATAAACGGTGCATGTACAAACATTCCTCACGCAAAATATGATATATTTAATATAAATTTTAAATATACCTAAGCAGATTTTTACAGACATTTGTAAGGCAAGAGGAGAAAACAATTTTTTTGGTTATATTAAATTATCCACGAATTATTTTTTTGTATACCCACCGGGATGTCTTAAAAACCCATATATTTTTCCGGAAAGTACCATAAACCTCAAACCAAACCCATTTTTAACCCAAAAGCCAAATACCAAGCGTGGATCCAGTTCAAAAGCCAAAAATCATTCAAGTGCAAGACAGCATTTGCAGACAATGAGATGAGATACACAAATTCGGATAAAAAATATAAATAAACTACTTTTCTGCGTACTTTCTCCCATAAACACCTTTATTGAACTGTACACAATATAACAAACAAACACAATATATTATAACAGAAATTATGATTCTGCCCGGGTTGCCTAAGCTACCTTCTATGTAACTTGCACATTACTCACACAAGGTACCTACTACCTACGCCCCAAATTGTTAGTGGATAATAAGGATTAGTAGATAAGGAAATCTCATGTTTTATCTGTTTGAGTCACCAAACTTACCCAATACTCGTTACATATAGAACAGTAAAAACTGCTACGTATTTCATGGTCCTAATATTTCCTAAGAATAAGATAATATTTTTAATAAAAAAGTAAACGGTTGGATTATGCAACGGTGACAAAAGGACCCAAAATAAAAGCAATAAATTTTTTTATTTTTCAATGAATGTTTGCATTAAATTAAAAACATAATAGAAAATGATATATTTTCTATATATCTATCTATATCGAATATATACCTACTAGTTCATATGCGTTTTCGCATATAATATATATAACTATATAATCAGTAAGTACTATGATAGTCATCAGAATCAAATCTTTCTGACAAAATATGGTATATTTAAGAATCAACTAATGCCATAAAAAATATTATTCTGTATAGGTCCCACACATTTTTATTATTTTTTTATATAAATGAACCAACATGTTTTAAATCATATATAGGAATTTCAAATTTAATAATATTATATAATTAATAAAAAAAATATAATTTAAAAAATAAACTTAATTTATTTAACATTTATAAGTGCATTGCAAAATTGAAATGCGCTTCAATTCTATAACTCACTCTTTCCACTGTATATTTTCTACCACAGATTTGTCCATACATTGACCCAGATTTAATATTAAAAGTTACGAAATTCAACTGAAAATTTCACAGAAATAACCTACTTCACAAAGCCTCGTTACGTGATGAGTAAACTGGTATTTGTGACTGGCAACGATTTATATGACATGTTATGGTTGAGGAAACCATGGTGACGCTATTATTATATTCGCCAGTCATTATGGGTTATTACCCACACGACGACAGTTAGGGTTCTGTCACCACCATGAGTTTCACGAAGCATTAAAATAAAACCTCTATAAAAGCAAATTTCATATTTTGAGTATACTTCTAGCCTGAAAAATTTATAGAGTGAAATTTTAATGGGCGACCTTAAAAAATTGGGAGTGTGATTATACTCCACGATAGAATAAGAATAAAAGGAATATTTAGTCTATAAGAATTTTGAATGAATAATAATTTGTCATTTACCTTTTAAAAAATAAAGGAGTTTTGATTATTTTTTAAAGAAATTTATTAATTTTATATTGTCAATACTCCAAAAAAATACTTCTTATGTTTGGTAGAGATGTTCTAAACATATAATTATATATTCTTTTAACTAAATAGAATTTATGTTACACTTAATGTAAGAGAATAATAATAAATAATTATTTATTTAATTTTTCAAATGTAAACTGAACTTAATTGACTATAATGACTCCTTTTCCAGTCTTTGATTATTTAAATGTAATTAATTATTTGCATGCAATCAAAAACTATTTTTAATAATGCCAAAGAAGTATAACTTCTTAGCGCGTACATAAGTACACGCACCCTTTTTTCTTCTAACTCTTACAGTTTGTTAGGCTAATCGTGGTCAGAGAGGGAAAGTATGATATGCTGTTATTTCAACTTCTATGGTATATATAAATATTGGAATGACGTAAGCGCAGATAATGGACTTCGAAAACTATTGATTATAAAAAAGTTGTTTATGCTATGTACTCTGGGAACATACAAAACCGCTAATAATAACTGTTTATTGTTTAAATTAAATTACAGAATACAGTTAAAATTGATTTAATTTTTTTTTTATTCAGTGTGCGATAGTAAAACCTATTTATAGGGTGGATTAATGAATATGTCTAATAGGTAGTGATTAAACAATTTGCTAACATACCCATGTATCTAGTCATGCTATTATCAACAAATACTTTCTAATATCTATGTAATTAAAATCGGAATAGAAGATTTCGAGAGTAAAATATAATGTTTTAACATTAGTAAATTAAATTAATTGAATTAATATGGATTAATTTATTCATTGTTCTCCGCAGTTTTAATGAAAATAATGATCTTATACGAAAATCAGACCGTTCTTATGATATTCCAACTCATTTCTGAAAACGCCACATGCGTATAAAGGCGTATAGACGGTGCCAAATAATAGTCTAGTCCGTACTGTAGGTTGTGGAGGTCTACCTAAGAAAATACACGAGGCCAGGCTTCTGCTGAATGCCCTAGATACCTCAACATCCACTGCATTAGCCTTTTAATGGAATACAAGATATGACAATGAGAACACAAAAATTACGAGTTGGAAATCTTTAGGTTTTTGACCCGTTAAATTGACCTATGATGGATTTTTAGTATTTCGTCGATATTGTTAACTAACCTAACGGTCACTTGTTTGTTATTTCTGGTATTTATAGTTTTATTTGTGTTTAATTCACACGAATTTTGTTGGTCCTTATTGAGTAGAATATTTTTCTTCTTTTGTCTTTGTTATTGTATTATTCTTTATCTCGATGTTTGAAATGTAAAAGTTGTATACAACGAGTTAATGTTTATGTATTATACGAGATAAGGTAAGAAATATACTAAAATATTTATGTACTGAAAAGGCCTTCATATGTAGATCTATTGATAACTATAGCCTTTACAAATATAATATCGAGCTGGTTAAAGTATTTGGTATTTGCCAAAAACGCGGTGCCAAAAATTCGACAATATATACCTACTGCATTACATGCTTTTAATTGTAACAAATTTATTTTAAATTTCAACTTTAAACTGTCCCAACGTTTGGCGTGCTTTTCATAGTCAAAACGTTTCGATGAATGTTTCATCCACACGTAAAAATCAATATTATCATTTAACTTCGTCACACAGCTATCAATGTTGTCCATTAATGACAATGGACTTATAATAGTGCTTTTAACCCTTACATGGTTGCATTTCAAGAGAAAAATATTTATATCTTACACGATAAAGACAATAATAACAAAACCGTGATAATTAAAACAAAAAGTAATCAAATAAACATTTTAATTTAAAGCACATAAAACAAATATGACACAGGTATAAAATCAGCTGATAAAATCACTTATCGTCCAACACTTCCACTGTCGAGGCACTGCTTGCATTATCATTATTTTTCTCCTCAATTTGCTCCGAGGCAATTTCCACTTCATTATTTTTGTTCGCGTTATCCAGAGATTCGGTCTTTATAGTATTTATACGTTCGTGAGATTCTTCGACAGTCGTGTCGGTAGAAATTTTCATTTTCTTACTCTTAGAATTTCCCATATTCAAAATGCAACCGATCGCATGGGTCACCCAATTAACACTGTTCTGATATCTTGATAACAATTACTTTGGTGAATTCTGACGCTTGTGATAACCGTCCGATACCGAGTGAGTGCGAAAATGCATCTGTTGGAATACACTAAAAACAGCTCTGCTTACAAGATAAGGCAATGACACATTGGCCGTTTTATTTCAATGACCTAAGTCTCAGTAATCGAATGAAGCGTGCTCCTTGGAGAGCGGATGTTTCGGATGACGTGGATTTATAATTGTTTAATCTTTGTTCTTTCTCCTTTAAAAAGCATATTATTAATGCGTGTAAATTTACTTCGTCTTAAGAAATGAGCACTACGGTACACAATACCGATAATTCTTTTAAAATGAACAAAAGACAAATTATTGCATGCCATTAGTCACATTCTACTAACCACGATACTGAGTCATTATAACAAAAATAACTCGATATGATATCATGTATGAAACTAAATATTACTTTGTTCGTTAAGAAAACAACTAATTACGAAGAATAATATTCAGATTCTTTGAAGGTAGGTTTTAGGTTATTAAAGTCATAATACATAAACAAAAAATATTACAAAATGAAGTACCTATTTCTTAACGGTTAATTCACATAAGTTAGTAAAAAATGCAATAAAAAAATTGATTATACTAAATTATTTATTACAGTTATATTCAAATAATTATATCATACAAACTTAAGCTTAAATGTAGTTTCAATAGCTGTCAAACCATTTTTTTATGTTTGACATATTTGACAGCGCTCAAGACTAGATTGACTTGACTAGCGGTTACGCAATATCAGTATCTTGTGCATTATCCTGTAGGTGATTATTTGTTAAAAGCCTGAAATTTTCTTATAGCAGTTTCCACGAACTCAGCAGCTCTAGTCAATCTTTCTGGGTTCCTGTATATGTTCTGAAGATCATCTGCCGTCGGTAGCATATCCAAAATTCGCGTATTGCACATTGGAGTCAGCGCACAAGCTCCAAATGCTGCAACTGTCCCAAATAACACCACGGGTATGTTTGACAGTAAGAAATTGAGGCCACCTTTGAAGAGCCGGAGAACGTTCTAAAACGAATATGTATTATATAATCTGTATTTCTGCTAATAAGATTCAAAGACAATGCTTAAGTGAAATATTCAAAGTACAATAGACTTATGAACGTCAGAAAAGTATAATTCTAAATTTACATTTATTACCATTTCGTAAGTCCAGAGGGGGGGGGGGGGCGCCCAAAACCCCGGGGGGGTTCCCCCCCCCCCCCTTTTTTCCCCTTTTTTTGGGCCCCCCCCTTTTTTTTTTTGGGGGGAAACCCCCCCCCCGGGGGGGGGTTTTTTTTTTTTTTTTTTTTTTTTTTTTTTTTTTTTTTTTCCCTTATATTTAAAATGTGACTGCTGACAGATCGATTTCTTCTTTTTTTTAATGGCTTCCATTTAAGAAAATGGGGTATGCCATCGTCACAAACATCACGCAAGAGACAGAAAATTATCAGCAAAGTTTTATCTTGGGCAAAGGATTAAATAATAAATAAGTATCTAAAAATGTCTATAAACATTCACATGCTGGACAAGTATATAAACTAAACACTTCTATGTACATATAATTTAAAAAAAGTAATAATAGGTTGGAAAATATCAGAGAGAACAACCAAAACTCGATTCGTTTAATATAATGAAATCATTGTCGCGCGCTTTGTTTATATTTAAAGAGTTAAATACCGGGGAAACAGAACATTTTAGTTTAAAAATCACAGACTATAGAGAAAAATGTTAAACTATAGACAACGGTTATTTATGACTCTGGACATAAATGGATCCCTTTTTCTCTCATAACATAATATTGTTTTTAAAGTGCACTAACGAAAGATAGTTAATATCAAAATAACTAAGTTTATCTGAGATTATAAGATAAAATATAGACATACAAACCTATACCAAACAAATGATTACAAGTTCATACACCTTTTATTATTAATTCTATCTATAAATTAAACACTTGTCCTGACTTCGTAGCATCTTACAAATTATTGCATTTGGTAAATGGACTTTTTAATGCAGGTAGCATTAAAAAAGCACTAAAAAGAGTTGCCCTCAAGAACACCCTTTTGATAACCCCGAGGGACACTAAATGGGAAATCTGCGCTGGTAGTGTGTCACTTCTAATAGCAATACGGAATACCGACGCATTTGTATGAAATTTTAATCCGTGGCCCGGATCTATTGAAGTTGTTATCGCATGGGAGTTACTGAGTACCTGCGCTGGATCGCGACACACTCAAATGGTCGTTGGAGATTTCGGCCTAAACCTTTTTATTACCAAATCATACCAAACGCATGGATTTCTACGTTTTACAATGTCTAAACATTACATATTTCTGTAAATAGTTTTTGTCATAGTCAACTCACTCTCACAACGAATTCATGGAATGAATAATTAGTATCTTTTCTGTGATATTGTTCAAACAAATAATGGCAAAATTTTACTACCTAAGCCTTAATGGACAATCACATGGCGTGCCTAGATAAGAGCTAACTAACTTCAAACATTCAAAAATTTTGCATATTTCGTCATACTTAGTTCATTTTGGCAGTTCTGTTACCAATAATGTGAATATATATATCGAATTAAAACACGCCATATCTCAATTGACATATTTGATCAATGCTGGTTGAAAAATCCGTAATTGTGTAATTTGATTATTTACAATAAGCGGTGTTTGTGTTAGTAGAGTACATTTGAAGCTCCCTACATTGTACGTTACATTGTGAACCATAATTTAAAGGAATAATAATGTCTGCAAACAAATTTAATTAACAATTTTTCGTACTTTACAAAAATGTCAAAAATTGTCACCGATTTTTTTTCGCGGTCCAAGAAAAAGAATTGGTTTTTAAAAAGTCTGTTAAATATCTCTATCTCTGACAAGATTAGCTTACAACGGATTTAAAACATCGAAAAACCTATAATTAACGCATCAGAAAATCGTGCACATGATTTAAAAAAAAATCTTCAAAATACTTACAGAAATAGCAGGAACAATACTCAAATCATTGGCAACTGGTTCTAGGAGATCTTTTTTCTGGATGTGTTCTTCACGTCGTGTGGGTTCATACTCGTTATAAGGTAATGGGAACGGTAGCACCTGGAAAAATGTAACAAATGATTATAGCACGTTAAATACTTCTATAAACTTGCAGTCAAGTTTCGACCATAATGGGAATAGATTTTTGGCTTTTAAATCCACATTATTTTAAACGTCAATACTCAAAACTAATAACTACAGAATGCACTCGCCATTTAATTAAAAAATAATTAAATATTAACAAGAGGCAGTAAACTAATGAAGATTAATAATAATCTAATGGCGTTTCGCCTTTTCTGGTTGTTGGGCTCTCACTCAATCCCTCCTGTGTCATAGGAGTTAAATTTACCGTAAAAGCAGTGTATGTATATGCAAAGTATTTATTACGCACATACAAAAATATACATAGCCATTCGACCGACCCTAGGTCGAGAATTGATTAACTACTTAAAAACATCTCATTCTGTTAATGTTAATAGAATCTATTTCATATTAAAATATTTTCATTTAAATTGTTATTTACAAGCGACGAACATATAGTCATTTTCCTGTGCACAACCGTAACTAACTAATAACTAATCATTTAAATTTTCCCACTCACTTGAAAAGCTGGCTCATCATACTCCAACACATTATTACTATTATCAATACGAAGGCCTTGAACAAACGTGCTCATTAATGTCATCAAAAGCAAAACTATGGCTTGCATCTGAAATAATATGTATATAAAATATATACAAATGTTTTGCTAAATATTACACGGGTAACTCTACTGTGATTTATGTGTATATAATAATAATTACAGCAGGCAATTGAATAATGTGCTAATAACAATAATTATTAAATAGATTTAGCACAAATAAATTACAAGAAACTCTGCAACCCAGCTGATATGTCTGTAATAGTATATTTCATTACAAGTGCGGAAAGCCTGTTGACAGTCGGAACAAGTTGCAATGACGGTTCCGCACGTGTACTGAACAACTATTTTTAATACAGTTGCGAAAAAATTATGCAATTTAATAAAATAATAAAAAAACAATAAACTCAACTCACTAATCATTTATTTCTTATACAAATTATTGTTCACATATACATTGGTGCAGTTTTTTATACTAACTGGAGAAGTTTTAGGTTGCATATTTATTTACTGTTTGAGACAAACTATTATTTATTTCGTATGATTTTTCATGTATATTTAATATATAATATAACAAACAACTAAACGCGCAAAGAACATTTTTGGAAAATGGCGCCAACCGTAAAAGAATATAAGCAGATTTTTTTTTTCTTCACCCATTCTGGGTAGGCAAAGGGAACTATGCCCATACAGCCAAGTCTTCAGTACAATTTTTTATTGATATGAAATGAAATTTAAGGAGATGAAATGAAATCTAACCTAACTCATTGAATCAAATCATTAAATCTTATATTGAAACAAAGCAGTAGCTTCTTTTTAGAAATATTTGCATGAATCATAAAAATTTCTATGAATTTTTTTTAGTAAAATCTTCGTGGTTGGTTTTTTCTTTTTAATAGACATTATTTAGACAGTTGGGAAAGAAAACGCACTAGTTCGGAAAAGGTAAAAAAAAAGCACGAGTGTGTAATAGCCCACATCCCGAACGCTATACGTCCCTGCAATACGCCACTTTTTGAGCAACTGTATTAAAAAATATATTTTTGTATGAATCATAAAGCACGTAAACCAAAAAATCTGAGCTCATACATATACTTGATTAACTAATAAACTATGAGGTTAATTTGTAAGTATGAATATGACTAAATATGTAATATAATCACGAAAAACACTTCTTACCTTTGCTATTGCTTAAAAAAAACAGGTGATTTTTTTTAAAGTTCACTACTAACACGTTCACTCCTTGCACTTATTTGTGACAACTTGTGCAAAACGCACTCAATAAATACCCGATATTTTTCATTAATTAGGAAAGAAATCCCTAATTAGTTAATGATTACTACTTAATTTTTTTTTGTAGTGAATATCCTAACATGAAAATAACGGCACTATTAACTCATTATAGAAATACAGTCATTACTTCCAGTAAGTAATAAAATTGATTAAAATTAATCCGTTTGTGAATAAAAACATTTTTGAGATTATTAAATAATTTAATTGAAGTAAATGTAAGGACATCAAAAATACATATTAATATTTATATTACATTTTTAAATATTAAAACGATCTCCGTTTTCTGTTATCAGCGACCTTCTGAATAGTTTGATATTTGTTAATCGCAGTTTTAACAAAATCTGCTGCTGTGCTTATCTTCTCCAATCTCTCTGGCGTGATGAGAGATCGCATTTCCTCATGTATAGGGCCAACTCCATTGAATGTGATGGAGCAAAGATTCGTGTAGCTACAAACGCCAATTGTGAGAAGGGAACCGAGCATGATCACGAACATACTGCTAAACACCCAATGAATTGTTCTACCCACGTAGCTCACCAGCGTCTGAAAAATAACATAATATACATATATTAAACTTAGAAGACTTTGTGGCTGGGGCCAAATGAGTCATAAATAAGAATTTAATAAAAAACGCGTCTAATTGTACGATGGCGTTTTAAATCATAAAAGGTATGTATTGTAAAACAAAAGAATGAGATGTTTATTTTCAAAATTCCGAGTGTTATAACAGAGTTTATATAATCTCATTCGGTAATATTCTAATTATGAAATGAAATACAGACTTTAATTGGCATATTTTATTTACATACTTCTTTAAGAAAATTAAAAAATTAAATTAAAGCATTATTTTCCTAGCAAAACAATGCTTTAAAACAATGTTTTAATTATTAAAGTACAATGTGTCCCGACCAAGGAGGTTTCAATTCAATTTAAGTACATACACATTATCTGTGGTGTGCGCGCTGCGCGCGCAACGAGCTGGTTCCGAGCCAATAGACCGATAACTGACTTTTGTTTCTTTTATATTGCATTTTATTTTGCTACCTATAGCCATGAGATTAAATAAAGAAGGGTATGAAACTGCATATAATTAGTTATTAAAACACTCGTGTAATCTTGTAAACTACACTCATATTTTAATACCCTCTATTATATGACAATTGCATAAACTACTATTATAGCACCTAATCGAGGATTATGGTACGTTTATAAAAAAGGGGAATGTTGTGCAGTCTTTCTATTAGACTTATTTTTAAAATGCCTTAATTTCTCTTAAGAAGAAGTAAACTCAGATCTGAGCCATTTTTTTTTTCGATCATTTTTGAAGCAAGCCTGATACGAGTTCGATATTGTTTCACCGTGTCGAATCCAGGACTTAGGGTAAAGCGATAGCCTCAAGAATAAAAAGCTAAATTCTCACCCGTGAATTAGGTACTTGACTCCATAACAGTCCCATAGACGAAGTGTCTGGTTCCATGAAATAGTCACTCAGGCTGTTACCATAGAGATCATATCTGAAAGAATATTAATGTATGAAATTTATATTTGAGTACTGATTTAAGACCAAAATAGTTCTAATAAAAAAATAAGTATACTTACGCATTAGCATATGCATTTCCATAGCCGTAACCTGGTGCATATGGTATATCAGGATAGGCCACCTCACCAGGATTAATGAATCCCGTTGCAGGCATGTTGTCCTGTAATCATTACATTTTTATTTAAAATGGAAGTCAATTATTAAAATCCATTTTGCTGGTTAATTAATATTTTATATTGCTATTCTAGGCTCTAGGTATTCTGTAATTGTCACAGAATTCCGACTTTCTTTACGCGCCTTCGGCCAATGGCTGACAATTGATATGGTGTATTCCAAAATACAGAATTGCCAATAGCCTACCATCTACATACAACTGAATGAATAATTGGCTATATACTGTATGAAATATAAATTGCTTCATTGCGACAAGTTCTTCGAAAGATTATAAGTCAAACAGAACGCAGGTCTGTCACAATAAAGTATAAAAATACAAATTTTGTTGAAGCCAATTAATTCCTTGCAAACTACAAAGTTACTTACAGAGCTGTCGGCTACGGGAGCTGGTGCATCAGCAAGCATATCATGTTTTGCAATCGGCACCATTCCTCTTAATACATCTTCCCTTTCTTTCACCTCAGACTTTTCATCCCGATATACAGGGTGATGTTCCTCAGAATGCTTCTTGAAAACAGGGTGGGCGTCAGCATTTAATACAGGATACTGAGGCTCTCGAGGTATTTCAGCGGATAGCGCGCAGGCTACTAACGCGGATAGTAACAAAATGTTGTTCATCTAAAAAAAAGTTTCATAAATTGCAATTGTTTAAGATGAATGCGTTTTATCAACGTATACGATTAAGAGTAAGAAAAGAACAAGTAAAAGCATAACTGAAAAAAGTTCTTATTTTTTGATATACGAAAAAAACAGCAAGAATAAATTATTATATAAACTAGATTGACTTTGAGAACTATAAGTGTATTCAGAAACAAGACAATGCTAAGTCTGACGTCAAAAACTTGACATATATAAGAACGTCATTCACGCAGTCTCGTTTTTGAATCTCACTCCCACTTTAAAGCAAAATTAAAATATTAATAGTTACTTACATTTTCCTGTTCTGCTGAGCTGATCCCGAAGAACTGATGCAGAACACTTGAGGGTTTGAGTTTTTATACTAAAGGGCTATTTAGAGAAACAATAGATCCCTTAACGTTATCTTTCTTACGATTTCCAATAATAGATAGAATACCGTAGACGGATTTGTCAAAACATCGGAATTTGCAAATTGAAAGGGATTCTTAAAATTTTTGAGCGAGATGGATATTTTTATATGTTTGTGACTAACATTGCAAATAATAGACTAAAAAAGTAGAAGAGTTTCATGCCAAAAATATGTTTGTTTTATATATTACATATGTGAAAAATATACATACTATAGCTAGCATAAACACCAATGTTACGTTATTTATAATAACTTATTATAAATCATTTACTTACTAAAGTTAGTACAGTATCTGCTAACATTCATTTCATATAGAAATAACATCGCAGGCATAACAACAAACAACAACAACAAACATGGTAATAACTTTAATCTACGTAACTGATATTTAAACTTAAAAATCTATAGTCAGCTGAACATATTTAGAATGAGGCGAAGGCATATTATTTACGAGCATAGATCATCGTCGATTGGACTAATCCTCATCAAAACGGTGTACGTGTGTTACGACGTGTAAAAAAGTAAAATATTTAACTGCTGATTTTTTTATAATTAAACAACTTTATTTACTCTCAAACTCATTTTATACAAAGATCACTAGCCTATTATTGTAATAGATTTAGACAAATTTTATTTTAAATTTATTTTTCACTACAAAAACAAGATGTATTTTAAATCATTCATTAATCAGAGGTAAACTCAAAGCAGTCAACGCAACCACGAGCCAACAACAGTTGGTATTCATCAACAGTTGGTTAAACAAACTTGAATCATTCACTGATCAAATTTACTATTGCCGCTTTAATTCTCATTATCAATATTAGCAATGAACACTATGAAATGGATGAACCCATTTGAATGTATTTGGATATAATATACACTTAAATAAGGACTCTACCTATATGTAAGAGAAGTCACTTGTAGTTTCTCGACCCCAGAGAAGAAGCTGCTGGGAAGGAAGTTTATCAGGAAAAAAACTACTGCTTTATAGTTGCGTCACGCTAGTGGTTTTCT